GTTTCCTTCTCTGTAAAATAAGGGGATTGGATTAAATAAAATCTGTACTTTTTTTCTAATTTGAAATATTATGAACTGATTCTGAGGATGCTGAGGCATGGAAAAGCAGCAAATTTCCACATATCTATCTATCTATCTATCTATCTACACATACACATATATATGATGGATATGTGTATATATTTGTATATACACATATACATATGCATGTATATGTACATATGCACATATATACAATATAAACATGTACACATATTTTATATATATATATACACGTATACACAAAGCCATATATATAATTATATGCCTAAAGTTTTTATATATATTGTTATCTATGTCTTTATGTGTTCTATGTGATATATGTATTATAAACACATGTTTGCATTGTCATAGCTCTATGAGATGTGTACAGGGGTCATTTGAGCTGGGAAGGAGTTCTAGCTACAAGTTCCATCCCTGATAGACACTTACTCTATGACCTCGGGTAGGACCCTCAGCTTCTTAGTAATCTAGGTATTTTATTTTTATTTCCATTTTAGAGGCTCTAAGAGTTTTAGTGATTTTACCAGAAAGGGTAAATACCAGGAGCAGCATTTGAATTCATACCTTCCTCCCTTATACCATTTTCCCTGCCCTGGAAGATGTGGATTTTCTCACAAGGCCATTGGCAGTTCCTGTCAGACTGTAGGAGCTGGGGTGGGTAGGTGGATCCCAGCAGGTGAAGGGAGAAGCCAACCCTGCAAGGTAGATACTATTGTCTGCATTTTGCAGTTGAGTAAACTGAGGCAGACAGAGGTGAAGTGACTTGGCCAAGGTCACATAGCTAGTAAGTGTCTGAGGCTGGATTTAAACTCAGGTCCTCCTGCCTCTAGGCCCAGCACTGCAGCACCCAGCAAGCATCCAGCCTGACTTGTACATGGGGGAGATTCTTTTTGTAAAATCCCTGACAAAGAACCATGTAGCTCATCCTTCAAGTAGGTGAAACCCACTACCCCAGGCACCTGTTCCATTCTGGGAAGGCTCTGATAATTAAGACATTTGTCCTTACATTCAGCCAAAATCTGCCTCTTTGTCTGCCCTCCTGCTCACCCACCCTCTCCTTGTGCCTCATTCTGTCCAAGCTGGGACCAATTACAAAGAAGCAGCCAGGGCTGGAGGTAGCTGGAAGCAGCTCTGGCTGAGGGACTGGCCCAGCCAAAGGATGTGGGCACTCCGGTGGTGCACGAGGGCCCCTCCCTTTATTTGGCAGCCTAAGGGGCAAAGGAGAACCGGAGGAACGTTGTTGGAGGAGGCTCCTTGTGTGCCCTGACCGGCTCTCGGGGCCTTTGTGCTTGGCATCTGTAAGTGGAAAGTTGAGCAGTCCGCCATTCTCTCTCTCTGAAGTCTTTGTCTTGGGCCTGGGTCCCCTGCTTCTCAGAGATGGCTCAGAAATTCTAGAAGCCACTGGATTCAGCAGTCAGCCTCAAGAGGATACTTTACAAAGGTTTTTGTTGAGATTCCATTCAGTTCCTCACGCACATATTCGGTGCCTCTTTGTGTCAGGCTCTGGGCTAAGCCTGGGGCTACAAAGACAACAGGGAAAATCAAGCCTTCCCTGGAAGAGCCACCAACCTGCTGGGGGCAGGGCATAGCCTGAATACAGATCAATGTCACACAAGGTCAGATGTGTCGAAAGAGGGATTCAGAGGGGCAGCTAGGTGGTGCAGTGGATAGAGCACTGGCCCTGAAGTCAGGATGACCTGAGTTCAAATCCGGCCTCAGACCAAACACTTGACACGTACTAGCTGTGTGACCTTGGGCAAGTCACTTAACCCCAACTGCCTCACCAAAAAAAAAAAAAGAGGGATTCAGGGAATGGAATCCAGCAAAATGTCCAGAGGCAGAGAACATTTGCAGAGAAGACTCCATAGAAGTGTGGCATGTGAACTAAGCCCGGAAAGTAGAGAAGACTTTTGATGAGTGGAAAGGAGGAGCAAGCATCTCCTAGTTGTGGGGCACAGCCAATGCAAATGTGGGGAGGTGGGAAGATGCCGTGTTGAGTTTGGAACCATCCCTTTGGCTAGTTTGCGTGGATCATACCTGACATGCATACGTGTTTGTGACATGGGATTATGAAAATTAAGGTGAGACAGGTAGGAAAAGTGGGTGGGATCCAAATTGTGAGACCCTTAAACTCCATGCTGCAAAGTTTGTATTTTGCCAGGGAGCAATAGGTAGTCCCTGGTGATTGTGGAGCAAGAGAGTTGCCTGGTCACATCTCTGCCACAGGACAGTGATGTTGGAGCTGTTGGGGGATGGGTTGGAGAGGACCGGTAAGTGGAGACCAAGCAGGAGGTTTTTCTAACTGTCCAGGAGAGAGGTGATGAAGGTCTGCAGTGTGGTGGTAAGGGCAGTGGAAGGAGACCCATGGGGAGAGATGGGACATGTAGGGAAGTTCAAATGGACAGGACTCAGCAGGTGATTGGATATAGGAGGTGAGATGGAGAGGCGAGTTTTGGATGCTCCTAGGCTCCCCACAGTTGTGAGGGGGTGGGCCATGGGGATCCGAGCTCAGCTTCCTGCCTCAGCAGCTTCCAGGACATTTGGAGGACCTTTGGCTGCTGGTCTGTTGGCTGGTTCTGATGAAAGCAGGTGTATCTATCTATCAGGGCCCAAAAGCAGGACCTCGGGTGGGGTCCAGGCCCCATCACTGGGCTCACTGGGCTAGCTCTGGGATCTGGTCACCACAATTTCAGCATGACCTTGCTTTGTTAGTTCTTTCTCCCAAGCTAGATTGTAAGCTCTTGGCGGGCCAGGATTTTGTCTCCATGTCTTGAGGGCTTCAGGTGTTCTGCTCTTTACCTAACAGTGCTGGAGAATATGTTCAATGAGCATATACTCACCTTTTGAAGGCATATATGTATGTGTTCACCTTATATTTAAACTGTACAAATATATTGATATATTATTTATTAGTACATTATACATTATTACATATATGTTATGTATAAATTATATAACCATTATATATTATAATTATATATAATATATAATAATATAATAGCATATAATTGTAATTTATTAATATGAAAATGTGCTGTACAAATATTTATCTGGGTAAATGTTGCTTCTCCCAGTGAGCTCTTTGAGGCTATGGGCTATTCCTTTTTTACCTTTGTATCACTAGTGTTCGGCTCATAGTAGGTGTTTAACAAATTCTTGTCAATTCCTTGGTTGGTCAGTAACTTGAAGTCATAGAATAATACCAGGGCCTGAGGAGCGTGGGGGCAGGAGGAGCATGGGTAAAGCCTTGCACTGGACATGGCCTTCCCGACTCCCTTGGACTGCAGCTGCCACAGGGAAAGGGAAGTTTCAAAGTCCACTTCTCTATGGTGGCTGCAGGAGCAAGCGGTGGCCAGGTGTGTTTCAGAGGCTCAGTGCTGTGGTGTGGCCACAGTAGCGCCAGCTTCCTGGGCATTTTCCCTTCTGTCTTTGTGCTGGTGTGTGCCTTAGGCAACGTAATCTAGAGCACGTGCAAGTAGGGTAGCTAAAAAGTGACGAGCCAAGAGCCGCCTGTCTGTCTGCAATGGCTGAGCCTCTCCCCCTGTCCCTGTTCTCAGCAGGACCTGCGGTGGGTGCCAGGACCCAACCCACAGAAGTATGTGAAGCTCTCGTGGAGACCTGTGCCAATGCTCTCAGAATTCTCCTGTAAAAGTCTACCATTAACCTTCCTCTGACTCCCGTGTAAAAACCATGCTCACTGAAGATGGATCAAGTACCCTGGGCTGCCTCTGTTGAGATCTGGAACCTAAATGGTCACGGCACAGGTCTCTGCCAACCAAGGGTTATATTCCCTACAATTTTTTCCCCTAAGAATGATCAGGAAGTGAATGAAATATGTGACCTGTGACATACTTTTCCTCAGAGGTAGTTTGAATGTCTGACCAAGTTAATATGCAATCCCGAGGAAGGGCAAAGAGATGTTTTATCTTTAACGTCTCACATGGTCAGTATGTGACTTTAGTGAATTGGTACAAAGGCAATGCTTACTGCAGTATCCAAGGCTTGGGAGATCTTAGGAGTGACGATGGCTTCAAAGGCTAGCTAGTCCAACCCCTGTCTGGGTGAGAGTTCCCTCTCATAGCTTTCTGCTTATCCTGGAAGTCTTCCAAAGAGGGGTACTGACCAGCTCTCATGGCAGTCCCTTCCACTTTGGGACAGCTCACATGGTGGGGAAGGTTTTCCTTTTATCAGAGTCCAAATATGATTCTTTGCAGCCCATCACTTCAGTTTGTGCCCTCTGGGGCCAAATGGAACAAATCTCATCCCCTTCCATGTGATGGCCCTTCCAATATTTGAAGACAGCTATCATCTTCCAAGTGAAGATTGGCCTTCAAGTTCTCTTTCACTTTCAAGTCTATGAACTTGTGTCTCTCTGAGCCTTCTCTTCTCCAGGCTAACCATCCATAGTTCTTCAGCTCATCATCATGGGGCATAATTCACAGGATTCTGGTGATTCTCCTTTGGATGCTTCAAACTTCTCCTTCTCCTTCTTAAAATGTAGTGCCAAGAAGAATGGAACACAGTTGCAGACATGTGGTTGGATTAGGGCAGAGGGCAGCTAAAAGATTCCAGCACACAATGTTCCTTAATCCTCCTGAAGGGCACATCAATGCTTTTGGCAGCCCCAGAATACTGTGGACAAATGGAGTTTGGAATCTACTAAAACCCCAGATGAACTGGGCATATCCCTTGACCCAGCTCTAAGAGATGAAAGAAAGAAGACAGGATCTATAGTTTAAAAAAAATTTGGGGGAATGACTAAACGAGTTATGGTATGTGAATGCAATGGAATATTCTTGTGCTATAAGAAATGGTGGAGACGGTTTTAGAAAAAAAATTGTGAAGATTGACATGAACTGCTTCAAAGTGGAATGAGAAGAACTAAGAGAAAAATTATACTAAAATTATACAATAACAATAACATATCCTCTCCTCCCTCCCTCCCCCCTCTCTCCCAGGCTCTCCATGGGTTTTTCATTGCAGTCACTGCAGATGGATACATCTTCTATGTCTCGCCTACTGTTCAGGACTACCTGGGATTTCATCAGGTCAGTTATGGCTGCCCTTGAAGTTTTTTTTTCTCCTATATTAAATGTAATTTAATGTGGAAAGAGCACTGGAAAAGGCTCATAAGATCATATCTAGAACTAGAAAGGACCATAAGGGTTACCAATATCTTCCTGTTTACATATGGGGAAACTGAGGCCCAGGAAAGTGATGCTACTTGCCCAGGGATAAACAGGTTGTAAGCAGGGTTGGGGAAGAACTGAAAGATAATTTACTGCAACATCTCATTAAACATGTAAATGATTTACACAGGTAAAGCACTTTACAAATTGTTGTTACCATTATTATTATTACTTATTGTTTATAGATGAGGAAACTGAGAATGAAATTCCTCTCCTGGACCAGCTCACCCTTGAGGTCCTTCCAGTTCCCAAACTCTGATTCTGTGATCATAGTTCAAGGTGTCAGGGGAGGCCTCATGGAGGAGGTGGCCTCATGTAGAACTGTGACATGAGGGGAACCAGGCCTTTACCCCTCCCCCCTGCTACTGTCTTCTGTGCTCCATCAAATATTCTACTTGCCACCTATCCCAAGTTTCTTAACTGCTCTCTTTGGCTTGCTGTGCTCACCCAATGTAATCTAGGTCATTCTCTGGATAATCCCATTGAGGACCATTTTATCAAAGAAGCAAACATATTTGGTAGGACAATCACAGGTTTGAGCTGGAAGGGACCCAGAAAGTCACCTATTCCAACTCCCTCATTTTACAGGTGGAGAAATTGAGGCCCACAGTGACATGGATCATAGATTTTGAGTTGACTATAAGCCATCTATTCCAGCCTTCTCATTTTATAGGTGAGAAGCCTGGGGCCCAGAGAGAAGTGACTGGCACAGGGTCACACAGCTAGTGAGTGGTAAAGCTAAGATTTAAGTCCAGATCCTCTGACCAAAATCCAGAACTCTTTCCACTACATGGAAATTAATCAAATATATGCTGAAGAACTCTTTCTCTACCCCTCCCTTTCCTCATCTTGTTTTCTCTTTCTCTGTCTCTCCCTTTTTCTCTCCTTACCTCCATCTCTCTCTCTTCAAAGTAGAGCAGCTAATGATTCTTTCCTTGACTTAATGACACTTTTGTCTTTAAAAGTGTGGAAGAACCAATAAAGGGAAATTTCCTGATCTGATACTCACTACAAAGGCTAGTTGGTTGCTGGGGTGGAAATATTGGGTATTGTTGGAGGGAAATGACCACTCGATAGTAAAATTCTTGAGAGAGAAGGAAAACCAGGTTCTCCCTTCCTCAAAAAGCTTTAACTCGATCCATCTTTACTAGCTCTCATCCTATATCTCTCATCCTTTTTTCAAATCAAGCCTCCTCTCTCACTCTCTTCCTAACTCTCTTCAGGATGGCTTCTGACTTCCTCCTCCAGCTGAAACTGTTCTTCTAAAGGTCCTAATGATGTCCAAATGTCCAAATCTAATGCTTTTTTTTGCCATCCTTCATCCATCTTGACCTTTAACACTGTCGATCACCCTCTTCTTGATACTCTTTTCTTTTTTGGTCTTCACAACACTTCTGGCTCCTGGTTCTCTCCTGCCGGTCTGTCCACACCTCCTCTGTCTTCTTTGCTTGATCTTTATCCAAGTCATGCGCCCTAACTCACAGTAACCCCAAAGCTCTGACCTGGACCTTTTTCTCTTCTTCTTCTAGACTGGTTTGCTTGGTGATCTCATCAGTCACCATGGAATCAATGATTTTATCTATGCAGAAGATTATTAGCTCTATTCATCCAGGTCTAACCTCTTTCCTGACCTCCACTCTAAAGTCAACATGGCCCAAGCTTCTTTCATGATTTCTTTCTCCTCCCAGCCCCTTCCCTCTTCTGAACCATCAAGAACTCTACCATCCTTCTAGTTACTCAGTCTTGCAACCTAGATATCATCCTTGACCCCTCATTATCACCACTCCCCAATAATGAATGAATGAATGAAGCAATGAAAAAAAACATTTATTAATCTCTTCCTCTGTGCAAAGCACTATATGCTGGGGATATAAAGGGAAAAAACAAGAGTGTGCTTGCTCTGCCAGTGCTCACATTGTAATGGGGAAGACAGTACACATGGAAGGTAACTGCAAATCAGATGGAAAAGCCTAATGGTTCTTGGGAGCAGCAGCACAGCAGATGCTAAAGGCCACTCCTTTGATGTCATTTCCACTGACAAAATTATATCAGCTTTTGATGTTGAGCCATTGGACAGGGCCAAGGACTACAGTGTTGAGCATTTCCCTTCCCGGGTCTTCAGCAGTTATGGCTGTAGAACCTGCAGGAGCGGATGCCTGCTTGCATTCCTAGGTTTTCTAGGGTTTTGAGTTCGATGCCCTGGGTTCAAATTCGGACTCTGCTACTTATTTGTGGGACCATATACAACTCACCTCTCTTGGCTTCACTTTCTTCATCTGTGAAATGAGGGGATTGGATTAGTTGGCCTCTGGGGCCCATTTCAACTCTAGATTTATGATGTGATGATGCTAAGTCACTTCGTTAGACCATTAGTCTCAGTTTCCTCATCTGTAAAATGAGGGAGTTGGCCAATGGCCTCTGAGATCCTTTCCAGTTCTGGATCGTGATATTTTGAAAACAGTGCCTGTTCCTCTCCTTAGCTAGTGGCAGTGGGACTCCTCAGATATTTCCTGACCATCTGATTATCATGATGCAAACTTAGCATTTTGAGAGCAGTTGAGTGTTTTATAGGAAGGGGCTAGGTTATGAAGGGCTTTGAATGCCAAACAGAAGATTTTTAAAAAAAATTTGATCCTGGAGACAATAGGGAACCACTAGAATTTATTGAGTAGAGTGGGTGACATAGTTGGACCTGAACTTCAGAAAAATCACTTTGGTGAGTCCTTGAATAGAGGATGGATAGGAGGGGGGAGAGACTTGAGGCAGGCAGACTTGCCAGCAGGCTATTGCAATAGCCCAGACATAAAGCAATAAGGGTATGCACTAGAGTGGTGGCAGTATCAGAGGTGGTAAGGTGGCGTATTTGAGAAATGTTGCAAAGTTGGCCATAGATTGAATATTGGGGGTGAGGAATAGTGAAGAGTTGAGGATGACTCCTTGGTTGTGAGCCTGAGGAACTGGGAGGATGGTATTGCCCTTTACAATATCAGGAAAATGATGAGGTTAGGGGAAAAGATAATGAGTTCAGTTTTGGACACATTTAGTTCAAACTGTTTACTGGTGGTTTGAGATGTCTGAAAAGTAGTTGGAAATGTAAGATTGGAGGTCACCGTAAGAGGTTGGGTAGGATATGTATATGAGAATCATCAGCATAGAAATGGTAATGAAATCTGTGAGAGTTAATGGGGTAACTAAGTCAAGTAGTAGAGAGGGAGAAGAAAAGAACCCAGGACAGAGTCCTAAGGAACGTACAGTTAGAAGGCATGACCTGGATGATGATCTAGCAGAGCACACTGAGGATGAGTGGTCAGACAGTTCAGAGGAGACTAGGAGAGAGTGGAGGCTATTTCAATATACCTGGCAAAAGATGAGGAGATCTAGACTCGACTGGTAACTTATTAATGGAGAAAAGGGAACTCCAGTGTGATGGCATTTAGTGATAACTGGAATTTCTTGTTATTTTTGTAGTGTTCAGGTTTTCTGACTTGCCATATTCTGGGAGGCCTATAATCTTTAAGTTCTCTATATACCCTGTCTCTGAGATCATTGTTTTGCTTGTATAGAAATCTTGTTTTCTTTGAACATTACTGGGTTTTGATTTTCTTCTTTCAGATTGTTCTTTACTTCTGTGAATTTGCAAATTTTTATTTATTTGGAAAGGATTTTCACCATGGATTCAAGTTTTTCTGTTCTGCTTATTATTTTTGCTGTATGGGACATACATTCTGCTTTCACAATTCTTGTTTCTCTCTTAAACCTTTTGGGAATATCTTGCTATGATTACATGTTCTCTTGGGAATCCACAAGCTCCTCTGACTCATCAGGGATATTTTCATTGTCATTTGTCTTACATCATCTATTCATAGATGTCTGAGGAGGATATATTCCCTTCTGTTATTAAGGTCTTCCCTGTTGGTTTGGCTACTTGTGGTCAAGCTCTTTAAATGAGTCTTCTTCCTCTTGACCAATTTGGTAATTTCAGTGTTTTTAATCTCTTTATTTCCCTATTGCTCAGTTTCTCACTCTCTCCCCTTTGTTGATGTGTCTTGGAGGCTGGACCTTAAAGCTGTCTCAACTTCCTCTCACAATGGGGAATTCACTTTTCCCTGGGCTTGGTCTCTGCTCCAAGTGACTTCTGGGAAACAAAACTGGCCACATATGTATACAGGTCCCTGTCTTTCAAGTCTAATGGAGTTTTTGTTTTTGTTTTTGTTTTTTGTTTTTTGTTTTTGGCTAGGCAATAGGGTTAAGTGACTTGCCCAAGGCCACACAGCTAGTAAGTGTTATGTGTCTGAGGCCAGATTTGAACTCAGATTCTCCTGGGCCGGTGCTCTATCCACTCTAATGGAGTCTTGTACACATACTGACTCCCTTTCAAAGTTCCGTCTATTCCTCAGGTCTCTGACTGAGCCCTGTCACAGCATAGAACACTGCTATAAAGCTGATCCAAGCAGAGTGTACTTCTGGTTTTTGGCTTTCTGTGGTTTGGGGTATGTAGTGGGGGGAGGAGCAGAACTGAGTCATATTGTATGTAGTGAATGGGCTTGTGCAGGAAGCCCTGCAAGGACATGGTGGTCAGTGGATGAGAGGCACTGAGTAAGTGCATTAAGGATTAGGGTTTAGCCTTCACTGTTAGCTCATTGGGTTTTTACATCAGTAAGTGTCTTTGTGTCTTAGGTCATGGAGGCCACTGAAATTGATTTTCCTCCTGTATATAATTCTTATTTTGGAGAGGTCTGAGCGATCACGAGGATAGGAGAAAATGTGTAAACACCCATAGGTTACATGGCTTAAACCATAATCACTGATATTTCTATAACTCTTTAATGTTTGCAAATCATTCTAATTACATAATCTCATCTGAGCCTTATATTAATCCTATGAAGTAGGTACAACAAGCATTATTATCCCCATTTTATAGATGAAGAAACTGATGCTTAGAGAGGTAATATGACTTGCCCATCATCACATATCTCCTAAGTGTCAGAGATGGGCTTCAAGCAAGAGGCAGTTAAAGGGCATAATGAATAAAGTGCTGGGTCTGGAATCAAGAAGACCTGAGTTCAAATCCAGCTCCAGACATTACTAGTTGTGTGACACTAAGTGAGTCATTTAACCACTGTTTGTCTCAGTTTCCTCATCTGTAAAATGGGGAGAAAAATATCATCTACTTCCCAGGGTTAGAGTGAGGGTCAAATAAGATAATAATTGTAAAGCTCTTAGCACAGTACTAGGCACACACCTAGTGACCATTCGTTTTCAGTGTGCTTTGCTAGATCCTCATCCAGCTATTCTTCTTCTTTTTATTTTCTGACTCCCTGTCCAGGGCATTGCCTTCTTCTTTGAATTCCTGTTCTCTATCTCTCTTCCCTTTCCATTTCTTCTGCAGCTGATAGTTATGAGGATAGGTTGTTAGTTTTTGGCTCTATGGATAAATCTAGTCTGAGCCACCAAAAGCTATCAAATTACTTGGTGTAACACTGGGTCCTGGGAGGCTGGACTGCTCTACATTGTCCTTTTCCTTTCTTGTAATCTTCATGACTCATTTTCAGCCATAGAGTCCAGAGGAGATGAGCCATATAGGGCCATATGAGGAGAACACAGATGTAGGATCCCTGAGCTCTTTCGTATTGATGTACAAATATTAGTCAGGGAAGAGTAAATCTTATACCTATTTCAGGGAATGATGGTTCCCTTAAGTTCCTACAGAAGAGATAATGAAACCTGGCTTCCTTCTCCAACAGGGAGGTGGGAATTACTGGGACAGAAAAGTCCATGGTCAGAGGTGGTCACTATATTAAATGTTTTTCCTTAATTGCTTTTGTCACTAATGAATTTTCATCAAATGTATGTTTTTTTTGGGGAGGAGGTTGACATAATTTTTAAATAAAGAAAAAAGACATCAGTAAGCCATTTTAAATTAGTCATTCTAAAATGCCTCCCTTGCAGTTCTCTTGATATCATTTTTCCTTAGTCGTCCCTTGGGTTGGCTTCAGGGAGCATAAGAAGTCCCACCAAGAGGCCAGCACTTTTGCCTTGATCTTGCAGTCAGACATCATTTACCAGAGCGTGTTTGAGCTGATCCACACGGATGACAGGGCCATGTTCCGTTGCCAGCTGCATGGGTCCCTGACCCCCCCAGCATTCAGGGAAGTGGAGCAGGACTCCAGCTGTGAGTATTTGAGCCATCAGTTTACCTAGAAGTTATTTGGTGAATGTGGAGAACATGAAACGTCCCTGCTTTCTTATGGTGGAAATATCTTTCAGTCTACTGGATTAGTTTGGACCACACAGCTTCCTAGCTAAGGGATGCTCAACCTCTGCCCGATGTAGTCTGAAACACCTGAATGGGTGAACCTGAAGGGCTGACTGTTACTGGCTTGATGACAGCTTGGAAGGAGGTCCTGGAGTGCCCAAGGGATTGATTCTTGGTCCTTAACACATTACAGATGTTTTCTTTCTTCAATGCCTTGGCTAAAGTCATAGACAGGATACTTTTCATATTTGCAGGTTACATGAGGTGAGGAAGTATAGTTAATGCACTTGATTATGGAGTTTGTAGCCAAAAGTGGTAGTCTAGAACACTGTAAAGAGCAAAATTAAATTTAATGAGAATAAATATAAAATCCCCCACCTGGGTTCAAAACATCAACTTTTTAAGTATAAGGTGTGGAAAGTGAGGCCAAATTATATTCTTTTCTGAAAAAAAGATCTTGGGGTTTTATGGATTACAAATTCAATATGAGTCAGCTCTGTGTTATGAGAGCCCCAAAAGCATGTTGCGTGTCTAGATTCAAGTGTCTGCTCTCTCCTGACATCAAGGGAGGTGTTGAGCTGGGAGAGTCACATGGACCTGGGGTATTCTCTGGGTCATGGAAGACATTCTTTATAGCACCTAAAGAAAAGGAGAATTGTCTAATAATGATTCTGTATCCATGTGCTGCTATTAGAGATAACTTTAAACTCTAGAGCAAAACCTCTTCAATCTGTATACTATCAACATTTTTGAAAATAGATATTTCTGAGGTATGTATGTATCCCAGTTTGGCAAGATGAACATCAGTGTGCCACCCTCTATTCTCTGCACTATATGCATCCTTGATGCATAAGCCCAAGCCTATCTGTGTGGCTCCCTTTTATACATGCTAAGGGGCTCCTTGGCATATCATTGTCTACTGCATGGCAAGGTGCCAATAAACTCAGTTCTTTTGGGTCACGGATCCAACCATACAGATTATGGGGGTTCTCTACTAGTCAGATTTAGAATGCTCAGCAAACTACAGTGAGTCAACAACCATTTTTTAAAGTTATTTTTTCCATGTAAAAACAATTTTTACATTTAAAAAATGATTTTCAAATTCTCTCCTTCCCTCCTTCACCTGACCCCTCTTTGAGAAAGCAATTTGGTATAGGTTATACATATGCAGTCATATGAAATATATTTCCATATTGGTCACATTGTAAAAGAAAACATAGACTAAAAAAAAAAACAACCCAAGAAAAATAAAGTTAAAAACAATCTGCTTCAATCTGCATTCAGACTTCATCAGTTCTTTCTCTGGAGGTGGATGGCATTTTTCATCATGAGTCTTCTGGGATTGTCTTAGATCATTGTATTGCTGAGAATAGCTGGGTCATTCATGGTCAACAAGCAAATTTTAAGCACCTAATATGTTCTAGGCACTGTGCTAAGCATTGGTCAAAAAAAGGTGATGAAAAATGTTATCCATCCCCAGAGAAAGAACTGATGGTGTCCGAGTACAGATTGAAGCAGACTGGTTTTCACTTTCTTTATTTTTCTTGAGTTTTTTGTCTATGTTTTCTTTTACAACAGGACTATTATGGAAGTATTTTGCATGACTACACATGTATAACCTATATCAAATTGCTTGCCTTTTCAATGAGGGGGAGGAAGGAAGGGAGATAATTCGGAACTCATAGTTTGAAAAATGAATGTTAAAATTGTTGTTACCTGTAACTGGGGAAAAACACCAAATAATTTTTTCAAAAGGCTAACACAAGCACAACGGTCCCTGTTCTCAAGGAGCTCCCAGTCTGAGGCAGAGACAATCTGCAAACACCTACATATAAACAGAATCCGTGCAGTGTAAGTTGGAGATACTCTTAGAAAGAAGGCATTGCGATTATAGGGGCCTGCAAAAGACAGGTAGAGATGACGAGACAGTTGCAGGTAGGGAAACAGCCAGTCAAAATTCTCAGAGTTAGGAGATGGAGGGTCTTGTTTGAGTAACCACCAAAGGGCCTATCCCACTGGAACGAAGGAAGACTCTGTGTGTGGAAAGGGTAAGAAGAGTGGAAAGGCAGGAAGGTGGAAAGGTAGAATCAGATGCTAGAAGACTTTATAAGCAAACAGGTTTTCATATTTGATCCTGGGAGCAGTATGAAGCAGCTGGAGTTTCTTGAATGGGGGATCATGAGGAGATTTGGCCTTTAGGAAGATAAATTTGACAGGTGAGTAGAGGATAGACTGAAGTGGGGAGAGACTTGAGGCTGGCAGGCCAACCAGACAGCTATTGCAATAGTTCAGGCATGCATTTAGGAGGGCCTAAACCAGAGTGGTGGCAGTGGCAGAGGATATAAGGAGACATATGTGGTGGCAACAGTAATAGGGAAATTAGGAAGAGGGGAGGAATTGAGGTAGGGAGGGGATGAGTTCATTTTTAGACATCTTAAGTTTAAGATATCTAGTAGGCAGTTGGATGGGGCAGCTAGTTGGTGTAATGGAGTGCCAGGCCTCGAGTCAGAAAGACCTGAGTTCAAATCTGGCCTCAGACACTTACTAGCTATGTGACTCTAGGCAAGTCATTTCACCCTGTTTACCTCAGTTTCCACATCTGTAGTATGAACTAGAAAGGGAAATAGCAAATCTCTCCAGTATCTTTGCCAAGAAAAATCCAATGGGGTGAGATTGGAGAAACTATTGAACAGCAATAAATGGTGCTTGGAGATTCTGGAGTAGCATCAGGGGGATAGGACTGGACAAACAGATCAGAGAATCACCTGTACAGAGATAATAATGGAGTCCATGGGTGTCGATGAATTCCTCAAGTAAAATGTTATAGGAGAAAAGGACCTAGGACAGAGCCTTGGGGGATATCTGATACTAAGGCATGACCTGGATAAAGATACAACAAAAGAAACTAAGAAGGAGCAGTCAAACAGGTAGGGAACCAGGAGATAGCAGTGACCCTCCTCCAGGTCACAAAACCTAGAGAAAACAGCATCAAAAAGATGGTGATTGACAGTGTCAGGGGCTACAAAGAGATCAAGAAGGATGAGGACTGAAAGGAGGCCATTAGATTTGACAATGAAGAGACCATTGGTAGCTTTGAAGAGAGCAGTTTCAGTTGAATGTTGAGGTCCAAAGCCAGTTTGCAGAAAAGGGAAGGTTAAAAAGGGTTAAAAGCCAAGTCAACCTGTTTGTCTGTGGGAGTCATCATCCTAACAGCTGATTCACTGGTCTTCATTTCATCTTTTAGCTCTGCCTGTGAATGAGAGCCCTCTACACAGTACCATCAAGTCTGACCCTCAGTACCTGTCCCTGGAGAATTCTTCCTTCCTGAAGAGAAGCTTTGTCTGCCGATTCCGCTGTCTGCTGGATAATTCTTCAGGGTTCATGGTAATCTCGCTTTCAGCCATTGACCTTAATGATCCACGTAGACCTGTGGCCATATAGGATCTCTGCACTGCCCAGCTTGGGGCACCAACTTCTCCCATCTCATGGGCACTGGCTAGGGGAAAGGGATATATTTTAGCCATGCCCCATTCCTCTATTCCATATTGAACCATGGTAGCCTATCAGGAATTGAATAATTTCATAATATGTCCACTTTAGAGAAACTGAGGACATATCTAATCATTGATCTGAAATCAAATTTTAATTTTTGTTTTTTGTTTTTGTTTTTTAGGCAATTGGGGTTAAGTGACTTGCCCAGGGTCACACAGCTAGTAAATGTCAAGTGTTTGGTCTGAGGCCGGATTTGAACTCAGGTCCTCCTGACTTCAGGGCTGGTGCTCTATCCACTGCGCCACTTAGCTGCCCCTGAAATCAAATTTTTAGAAGGGACTCCTGGTTAGCTCCAGATACAATGATTATCTACACCATAAGTGACATTTATTGCCTGATAAGATGTAAACTCCTGAAAAGCAGCACCTGTCTTACTTTTAGAATCAGTAGTCAATAATAGTCAATAAACATTTATTAAGCACCTGTTGTGTGCCAGGCACTGTGTTAAGCACTAGGAATACAGATAAGAAAAAGAAAGTTCCTGCCATCAAGGAACTTACAATCTTGGATGAAGACAAATACACAAAAGGAAGCTGACAAGGTGGGTGGTAGATGAGCTGGAGGGTACCCAGGGTGGGGCCATGATGTTTGTGGAGCCAAAACCAATCAGAGCAGCTGATCAAGAGTTTAGCTAGAAAGGTCTGTGTCCTCACTAAAGAAAGACTTTGGAAGGAGTCCTCCAGCCAGACAGGAGAGGTAGCTAAGAAGGCACTGAGTATCAAAGCTGGGTCAAACTCCAAGGAGATGAGATTTCAGGTCGGGTTTTCAGTCACAAGAACATCTTTAAAAATATAGATATAGATATAGATATAGATAGATACACATATTTTATTTATTTTGTTAACTAATTCCCAATTACATCTAAAATATTTTAACATTCATTTAAAATTTTTTTGGGTTCTAAATTCTCTCCTTCCCCTCCCCTTTGAGAAGACAAACAGTATGATATTGATTATACATGCAAAACATATTTCTATATTAGCCATGTTGCAAAATAAAGCACACCAAAGAAGCAAGAAATTTTTTTTAAAAAAAGTACACTTCAAGATACACTGAATCCAATAGTTCTCTCTCTAATGGTGGATAGTATTTTTCATGATGGGATCTTTGGAATTGCCTTAGATCAATGTCTTGATCAGAGTAGCTAAGTCTTCCACAGTTGATCATTATTGCAATACTGCTGTTCCTGAGTTACAAGAACATCTTAATTAAATCTTTGTGTCCCTAGTAATTAACACAGTGTCTGACATGCAGTAGGCACTTAATAAATGCTTGGTGATCGATTGATTGTTTCTTAAGCTAGGCTGCTTGCCCACTCATATGTGCAGGATGGGCTCCTTTATCTCACCCTCATGTAGATAGGGCAGTGAGGTGGTGCAGTGGATAGAGCACTAGGTCTGGAGTCAGGAAGTCTCATCTTCCTGAGCTCAGATCTGCCTTCAGACATTTACTAGCTCTGTGATCTTGGGCAAGTTACTTAACCCTGTTTGCCTCAGTTTCCTCATCTGAGCTGGAGAAGGAAATGGCAATCCACTCCAGTATCTTTGCTAATAAAAATCCCAAATGGGGTCATGAAGAGTAGCATATGACTGAAAAATGATTGAACATGTAGATTCTCTGCTTCTCTGGAGCCTTGTAGGAGTTGGGAAGTTGATTTAATTAAATTGATATTGACATTTACTTGCAGAGATTCCTAGGAACATGCAGCTGATGCAGTTTTGTTCTAGTTGGACAGAGTTCAGGATTTCCAAGCTGTTTGAAAAATATTTCAGCCTCTAGATGAGTTTGGATTATTACAAAATGGTAGCCAGGAGATGAAAGAGTCAATATCTAATGACCTAAGTGTTCCCTTTGCTTCATGGAAGATGTTAGGAACTGGAGACAGTGGTTAGAATTGCCTGAGCCCAATTCATTTTTACTAAATATAGCTGAATCCTGCTTACAATTCTAACCAGCAATCATTTATTAAGTGCCAGATACTGTGCTAGCAGCCTAGAATACTACTAAACAAATGAGAAAGTCCCTGCCCTCAGGGAGCTTACATTCTGCTTCTGTGTATTGAATATGTCTAGTGCATCTACTGTATCTCCAGATGGTGCCCAGAGCAGGGAAGGACTAGAGGAAGCTTCATCTTTTCCCTTCCACCATATGTCCACAAAGCTTCCTCTGGGGTAAAAGAATGAGGTCTAATGTGATGGGCAACAGACCTCTAAAGTTCAGTGATTCATTTGTCCCTTCAAAACATTTCTTTCTGGCTCTGTTGTTTATTATCCTCTCCCCAGGCTTTGGATTTCCATGGTCGCCTGAAATTCCTTCATGGGCAGAATAAAAAAGCTGAAGATGGATCCCTCATGCCACCTCAGCTGGCCCTGTTTGCTATAGCAACACCCCTCCAGCCTCTCTCCATCCTGGAACTCCGGGCAAAGATATATATTTTTCAGACCAAACATAAGCTGGACTTCACACCAATGGCTTGTGATGCTAGGTATGGTGGATGTCAATGTTGTGCCTGAAAGTCAAAGTTTCAGGTAATGAGGTGTCTTCCTGGGGATCATCACACTTGTTCTGAGCTGAGTTAGGGCAAAGCTAAGCTACAAGCTGACTGGCCATATATTTGATGAGAAAGGAGCAGTAGAAGAGTCTCAGTGATTTGAAAGGATGAAATTGCCACTGCCTATTTATCCCCTACAGATGTTGACACTGAGTCAAAGTCATGAGCCGCCTGCAGTCAGTCCCAAATCAGCCAGGGTGGTGGTGGGGACGCCTCAACCTGAATTAACTAAAAAAGAAATCTGCTGATCAGATGGCTAATTCATGACATCTACTTGGTGAAATTTCTAAGTATTTCACCTACTTACAAATCTCAATATGGCATGCCAATTTTCAAAACTTTGATACTGCAATTCCCCATAAAGCAGATCCCAGACCAATGAGTCGAAAAAAGAGTCTAGTTTAGACTTGGCATAAGGAAAGCATTTCCTAACAGCTGAGTTATCCCAATGTGGAATGGGCAGTGGGCAGATTTCATCAGAGGTCTTTGAGCAAAGGCTAGATGATCACTTTCCAGGTGTGTCAGAGTGGGAATGTCTTTTCTTTTTTTTACCCTTAGGTGTTTGAGGGCCCTTCATACTCTGAAATTCTCTGATTCTTTGATTTGGTGGCTCTGGGATCTTGATGATTTAGCTGTTCTCTTGAAAGATGCAGATTATGCCTGCCCATCCTACACTGCTCTTGGCCATGTCCTCCCACAAGAACACCACACACTCAATGTTGTTGTGACCTTCTTTGAGTTCTCTGGGCACTTCATTAATAACAGCAGAGTATGTGGGCTTCACAATACTAGGGAAAATGTCCTATTGGCCAATGCTGGGAATACAACTTATGAGCTAAAGAAAGTTTAGTCTAAAGATGAGTCTAAAGACAGTCAAACCTAAGATTATGACTTGGTTGTGCAATTCCTCACTTTCTCACTTATCAGGCGGATAGATCTGAGGGCATCTCCCTTAATTTCCATTGCTTTCCTCTAGTGAGAGGCCATCATGTCACGGCCTGAGCTCTTGTGTCCCCCTGACTCTTGAACATGTGATAGTATGATAGTTGGTAGTAGAGGCAAGTCTGCTTTTGCACCAGACAAGGATACTTAAGTGGATGGGTATTTTGGTGAAAGGCGGTCATATTTGGCCAGAGTTTATTCATTCGGGGTCACAAGATATGTTGAGTTTAAAACTCTGACATTCTTTTCTCCTTCTCAGAGGGAAAATGCTTCTGGGTTACACAGAAACTGAGCTCTGCATGAGAGGCTCTGGATACCAGTTTATCCATGCAGCAGACATGATGCATTGTGCTGAAAAGCATGTAAGAAGTAAGTTCTCTGACCATCTGTACATTCCTCCAAATTATGTAATAACTTTTTTTTTTGTTCTTTCCATTGTGGGATAACCCCAGACATTGAGGTAGAGTGAATTTATAAAGGTGGGAGAGTTCAACCAACAAGTGCCAAGACTGTACAGCAAGATTTAAGATTGTAGTTAGACTCAGTCAGTGGACAAGGTTAGACTAGGGAGGTCTGAAAAACTCAGTACTGCAATTGGACATGTTAGCCAACAAGCATTTATCAAGTGCCTATTACATGTTAGGAACTGTGTGTGTTCAGAAATAAAAGGAAAGGCAAAAACAGTCCTTGTCCTCAAGAAACCCACATTTTAATGGGGGAGACAATGTGTAATCAACCATATACAGTGTAGATAGAAGGTAATCTCACAGAAAGCCACTAGTGGGGGTGGAAGAGACAGTAGGAAAGGTCTTCTTCAGAAGCTGGGATTTGAGCTGAGTCTTTAGGAAGCCAGGGAACCTGGGAGAAAGAGATGATCATTGCAGACATGGGAGATAGTGAATGAAAAGGCACAGAGTGAGATCAGCCGAGCTAGATCATCAGGGCTCTAAACATTAAGTGATGAGGAGGTAACAGATAAGGCAAGCAACAAGTTATTATATATATATATATAATAAAATAACTGTATTTCAATACAATTGGTTTCCTTTGTTTTTTATGTATTTTATTTTATGTGTTAAAAACATTATTGTGAGAAAGAGTCCATAGGCTTCACTAGACCAGCAAAGGTATCCCTGACCAAAAAAATGTTCAGAACCCCTGGTCTAATTCATTATTTAAAGCAGAGTTCATCTCAGAACCATGGAGAGCTCCACACATTTAGGGTTCTTTCTTTGATTCAGTGGTACTTTATCCCTGACAGTACAGAGTTTCTCAGTCAGCCAGGCCCATCTGGATATTAAACAGGGCTCAAGAAGTCAAGTTTGAGTCCATGGGGTAGTGAGTCATTTTCATCTACCTAGGAGGGTTCTGAAGGCAAAGCTGCATGCTTTGTCTGACTTCGGGCTCCTCACTGGATTATCCATCCATAGAGGATGGCTGCAGGGCAGTGGCTCAGGTCTTTCTATAGAGACATTGCTCTTCTCTTCAGAGGGATTTTAATGTTCAGGGCCCTGGCATGCCCTAAGGTATGGGACCAGGCCTTTTAAAAACTCACTTCACATCTTGGCAGTTTAACTTCCTAGGCAATGAAGCAAAAAATCAACATGCATTTCCTAAATATATGCCAGGCATTTTGCTAGGCCGTGGGGATGGAAAGGCAAAAGAGAGACTTTCAGTGCCCTCAAAGATCTGACATTCTACCAGGGAGGCAACCACCAGCTCAAACAAACTGATTGTAAAAAAATGTTCCTAGTTGCCAAAGAGATATTAAGAGCTATAATTACCTGGGTAGGGGTAAGGTGAGAGGGAAAAGGAATAACTGAACAGCCCATATGGATCAAGAGATATATAACATCTGAATGCTAGAAGGGCTTTGGTGCTGCCCTCCCAGCATATCTGCCTCATTAACAAACTAGATGCCAAGTGGTCCTGAAAACTTTCCATCTCCCAAACTCCCTAGGCAAGAGGAGGTTGGGGAAGAAGGAGTCTGGGGTTGTGGAAAGATCAGTGAACTGGGTAGGAATCAAAAGATCTGGATTCTAGCCCCACCTAGGCTGTTTGTGACCCTTGTCATCTTGGAGCAGGGGCTTCTCTTTTCTGGTCTGAAGCATTTTCTCATGTGTAAAGTCTGAGGTTGGACTGGAAGATTTCTAAGATGCCTTGCAGAGCTACTTTTTTGTGCTTTGTTTTGTGAGGCAATTAGGGTTAAGTGAATAGCCCAGGGTCACACAGCTAGTAAATGTTATGTATCTGAGGCTGGATTTGAACTCAGGTCCTCCTCACTCCAGGGCTGGTACTCTATCCACTGCACCACCTAGCTGCCCCTTTTCTGTGCTTTTAAATCATTTGTCTGCACTCATATGCAAAAATGACAGTGTGGTGCAATAGACAGCAAGGAATCAGAAGCTCTGAATTTAAATCCCAGTTCTTCTGCTTACTAGGTTTATTATGACTATGGACAAGTCACTTGACCTAGCTGGGCTTCAATTTGCTCATCTGTAAATATGGTCATCATACTAAATTACCTTTATAGTCCAAAGCCACCATAAATCCTAGAATCCTTGCATTTTACTACTGAGAAAGTCCTATGTGTGCAAAATGACTTGACTAAGGGAGAAGACATGTCAATGACATATATACAAATGTGTGTACATAGAGATCTCCATATATGATATATATCATAATGTATATTACATATTTATAGATACATATACACACGTGTATAGGGTAAAGATATCCAGTCTGACCAGTCTCTCTCCTGAGATCCAACTCCTGTTGGACTAGATGTCTCATAGACATCTCAGACTCAATGTATCTAAAATAAAACTCCTCTCTTTTTCTTGCAAACCTTCCTTTCTTCCAGACTTCCTTGTGGTTGCCTTGGGGAGCTCTATTATCCTCCCTCCCAGTCACCCAAGATCTACCTCTTTAAGAACTTCCAAATCAATCCCTTCATGCTCACTCATAAGTCCTCCCCATCTCTCACCTAGAATATAACAATCATCCGATTGCTGCCTTGATTGTTTTCCATCTTCCTTAAAGTTGCTCAAGTGACTTTTCTAAAGCACAGCTTTGACCATACCAGATTCTCCCATTTGATCAACTCCAATGGTTCTTTGTAATCTCTAGGATCAGACAGACACTCCTCTGGCCCACATTTAAAGCTCTCCACAACATACATCCCCCCTTCCTAGCTTTCCAGTTTTCTTGTACTTCACTCCCTCCATATACTCTCCAGGTCAGCCAGACTGGCCTATTTCCTCTTCCTCACCTGTGAGGAATCAATTCATCTCTATGCCTTTAGACTGGCTCTCTCCCATGCTTGCGATGCCCTTTCTCCTTACCTCTGTGTATCAGAATCCTGGTTTCTTTCTAGACTCAGTTCAGGCACCACCTTTGGTAGGAGCCTTTCTCAGTCCCTCCAGCCTCTAGCACCTTCCTCTCTAAGGTCACCTTTTCCTAGTCTGTATTTATCTTGTATGCACCTAGTTGTGTACATATCTCATATTAGAATGTGAGCTCCTTGACAGCAAGCACTATTTTTTGCCTTTTTAAAAATTCCTAGCACCGAGCATAGAACCTAGCACATAGTAGGTGTTTAGCAAGTGCTTGTTGATTGACTGCCTGATCTAGCTATGACACCAACTTTGCAGAAACCACCAGAGCTTCCATTCTGCTGATACAGCCTCCAAGGACCAAGGGTCACTTCCATACCATGATGAGCTGTTTTTATTTCATAATCTCATAGACTTTGAGCTAGAAGGGATTCAGAAGCGGCAGTAAATCATGCCTAGAACTTCAGATGTGCTGACTTCAAGCCAAACTCTCTTTTCCAATGTACTTAGCTGCCCCATTGGAAGAAACTTTTTGCAAAAGCAGGCAGATCATAAAATTTATACGTGTGTATATATATGTATATACCGATATATAGACATACATCATATGTACATGTGTGTATATTTATATATGCTCCATACTTTCAATGATTTTTTTTCCTTTTAATCCAAAATTGGAGCATGAGAGCTCCATAGTAACAAGCCAGAAGCACCTGTAAAATGTTCTGAACTCCCAGAGGTCCCTGTATGAGAGCAATATAATATATAAATTTCAACCCCCACTGACTCCCAGGAACAGTGTCTTCCCTCCTAGATTGCCTTCAGTTAACCCTGTATGTATTCTGTATGCGCTTGGTTGTTTGAATATTGTTTATCCCAATCAGAATGTGAGATCTTAGAGGGCAGGGACTGTGTTTGCCTTTCCTTGTATCCCTGGTGCCTAGCACTGTGCCTGGTACATAGTAATTGCTTGATAAAGGTTTGTTGGTTTGACTTGACGGTTGTTGGATCCGAGGTTACCATGCACCACCTGCTGACTTGCTGAGTGTACTAAGGAATGCTTCCTTCATCTCTCCCCAGTGATGAAGATGGGTGAGAGTGGAATGACCATCTTCAGGCTGCTCACCAAGAAGGCTGGCTGGCTCTGGGTCCAGGCCAATGCCAGGCTCGTGTACAAAGGAGGCCAGCCAGACTGCATCATTGCTCGGCAGCGGGTACTCTCGTGAGTGGTGCTTTCCTGACATAACAGTTCTGTTGGGTCACAGCCCTAACAGCATCTTCCCACCCATGCCCAAAGGGGTTGTGAGTCTTGATTAGTAAGCACTGAAAGATCACCCATGGACATAGCTTCTCCTTATGTCTCTGCATTACACACAGGATGAGACTAAGGCTCCAGGAGAGTAAGCAATTGGTCAATAATTAAATAGGGATTGTTCTGATTCCTAAGACATAGGACTCCTGTGTTCCACTTCACTATTCTTTCTATCGAGACTCTGGGATTCTCATTATAAAGGAAAAATCCTCTCACCTATGAGCAGACATGGTGCTACTGAGCCTGCCATCAGTGGGATCCAGGGTTTTATGAGTTTTTTTTGTCTGTGTAATGGGACTGGTCTTCCAATAAGTTGTGAACAACCGCTGTCCAAGTTCCCCTTCATGTTCATGAAGTAGGTGGTTAGGAATGGTGAAATTTGTGGTTAGTGAACAAAAAAGAGTTACTAGGTACATATGTGAATGTGTGATAGCAGGCCACAGCCTGCCAATAAGACAGGAGCTAAGTCTGAGAGAGTTACCTGAGGCTCAGAGAGTTCAGTGATTTGCCCTGCTCACAAGGCAAGTCAGTATCAAAGGCAGGGTTGAAACTGAAAGCCAGCCCTTTACTCCCTATCATACGCTGCCCTGGAACTGACACAAAAGGAGAAGAATTACATGATATGGAACCCATTAGGGCCATGTTTTGACCAAGTGAACCTGAAGACTAGAAACGTGTGTGTATATTTACATATGCCACACTCTTAATGTTTTTATTGTTTTCATGTTAATATTTTTATTGATCCTGGTCTGCACCATTCTGAGAATCTTGAAGATCCCAAAGGGATTGAATTGAGAGCTTCATGCATGGCTCTCAATGCTTTGGAATCTATAACTCAGATGAATGGTGGCAATCAGGCCCAACTCCAGGAACATTCAAGGAGGGTAAGGGGATAGTGCCAGTTCTGGCTCTTTCACAAAGAAATGGGGGAATAGGAATGAATGGGAACTTATATGCATTCCAACTCCCCATCCCATTTGACATGGGAAGAAATTAAGGATCAGAAAGGTCCAGTGACTTGCCCAAGATCAGACAACTAGTAAGGGGCAGAACTGGAATTCATACCTAGGTCTTCTGATTCCTAATTTGATGTTTCTGGCTCCCATTTCTAGGTTCCCAATGATTATTTCTTTCCATTTCAGATTCAGAAATGGCTCTAAATTACTCTAGCCTCAATGGGTTAGCTTCTGGCTTCCTGAATGAATGCCTTTATATCAGGTGTCCCTAGACCAATCAATATTGACCTTGTACATTGTCAAGGACAAGCCATGTGATCACAGAAGAGACAGCCACTGTCAGCCACTGTCAGGGTACAGATACCTGTTCACATACACAACAATCCCCTAACCTGGTCTAGCACTGCCATCCCCTCCCTCTCACAGATCTTCACTTCAAGGAAGTGAATCTTTGATCTCCTCAAGGGAAAGGTTAGTGATTCTCTATCACATTGCTCAGTCTAGCACCAAAGCAAGGTACCTCTGCCTCAAACACCAGATCTTTATTTTTTTTAAGACCAGGAATAAGTTTGTAAAACTTCACTGATATTCTGCTCCGAACCGTACTTGCAATCTTTCCTGATCTCCCTAGCTGTTAATGTCTTCCTCACCTAAATCACTTTCAACTGATTTTGTATATAGTCTGTATATAAGGGGCAGTATGGCACAGAGAGTCAGGCTCAGTGAAAGGATGTGGGTTTAAGTCCCATCTTTAACACATGCTACTGTGTGACCCTGGGCAAGTCACTTAATTTTTCAGTGTCCCAGGCAACTCTCCAAGACCTTAAATTACATAAAAGGTGCCTACCTGGACTATTAGAGGGAATTTCCTCATCTGGGAGTTCTCTATGCCAATGAAATCCTAGATGCAGTCCCTATCCTTAAAGTCGGTTTTATATCCCTATGTATATACACATTATCTTCTCTAATAGAATTGAAGCCCACTGAAGACAGGGACTGTTCCATCTTTGTCTTCATATCCCCAGTGCCTAGCAAAGTGCCTAGCCTAAGCAAGTATTTAACACATGCCAGTTTATTGATTTCTCATCATGGCCTAGAGGTGACTTTGGGTTCTCAAAGGCTAATCTCAATGGAGAGCAAGGTCCAGAAAGTCTGGAAAGGTTGTGAGCACCCAAAACTTGGGGATGTGTGGCACATGTGCTGTCTGAGAACCAGACAGGCCAAGTGCAGAGAGACTCATCGCTAGAAGGCTGCTACCTGGTAGTGGTATTTTTTAGCCCTAGTGACTCATGAAAACCATTTCATCGGGCACACAAGGGTTAAGACCCTCATTGGTGGAGGGAACCTCCACAGTGATGAAATAACAGAACAATTAGACAAGAAGTATTTGTAAATGCCTTCAATATGAAGTGTGTCCTGCAACCCTTGAAACATGTAAACACCTTTCCCAGTTTCTGCACCACTGATATCCTTTAAGAATACCCTAATTTGGGACCATTCCAAACAAGAGTCCATTAGCCACCTGTTATGGTTGTGCTAACCGTGCTAAGCATGGAGATACAGAGACAGAAATGGCTTTGTGTTTGCCTTTAAGGACCTTACATTCTATGAGTTAGGACAGTCAACTAATAAATCAATCAACAAGCCTTGACTAAACACTTCCTATGAGCTGGGGGTTGGTAATACAAAACAAAAAGCCCAGAATCTCAAAGAACAGCGGCACCTTTCCGTCAGAAGAAAAATGCAAGGATCAAGTAAATGATGGTTTTCTCTCCTTAACCATTTAGCAAAAGGACCGGTGTCTCTTCTTTCCCTTGTTTCCCTCTTGTATCATCTCTGCTGTTCTTTAGCTGACGTAACTACCCTGATACACGGAGGACTACCAGAAGCTCTCTCGCTGTGTACCGCTCTTGTCCAGGATAGCAGACAAACACGCAAAGCATCAGAAAATACTATGGGGGGGAATGAGAACCATAAATCTGAACTCATATAGCCTGCAGGAGGAGGGGAGGCAGGGAAAATTGTCCCTGCTTAGTCAGAAGGTTGGCAGCAGCAGAATGGCATGAGATGATTCCATCTCTTTTGCCCTCACAACAAACATTATTTTTTCCTAGTGATTGAAATGGTTATTTCAGTTTGAAAGCATTTGTCTTCAGAGCTTATGAATAAGACTTGGCAGTTCCCATGTCCACTTGGTCAAAAGATTCTAGCTGGATGGGCTGTTGAGATGCTAACTACAAATCAAAAGCTCCATTTTTTTGCAGGGCAATTGGGGTTAAGTGACTTGCCCAGGGTCACACAGCTAGTGTCAGGTATATGGTCTGAGACCAGATTTGAACTCTGGTCCTCCTGACTTCTGGGCCAGTGCTCTATCCACTCTGCCACCTAGCTGCCCTGAGGTCCATTTTTAAATGCAGTTGGTGAAGACATGGCTTCTAACCCTATGATTTTTGCCTGCCTTTGCACCATTTCAGGAATGAGGAGGGTGAGGAACATCTGCACAAGCGGGCCACCTCACTGCTGCCCTTTAACTTTGCCACGGGGGAGGCTGTCCTGTATGAGAACAAGCTTCCAGACTGCCTCAGCTCTCTCCCTCCCAGGAAGGGGTTCAAGGCAAAGAAAGAAGCTTATCTTGACCATGACCCAGCCAACCCCAATTCCCTCCTGGGAGCCATGATGCAGCCAGATGAATCTGCACACATTTCCTGGACTGTTCCTGTGTCCTCATTTTCCTTTACAGATGTTACGCAAGCCCCTAGGGAATGGTGTGCCAATGACAAGAATGGGAAGATCATCAAAGATGAGATGGATTCCCTTATGGCCATCATTGAGACATTACTTGAGGAAAATGAGACTGAGAGTGACATCTGCAAAACCATCCAGAACCTGGATGTTGATAACCTCGAATTACAGAAGTGCGAAGAAAACATGTTCTCAGTGAAGCAAATGGGGTCCCCAAGCTTCCAGGGAAGACTCCAGCAGGGAGTGACCCCCTTCACGGATGAGGTGACACTCTCACCAGAGAATAGAAAGGATGTGGACTTTCCACCACTGAACATCACGACGTCTTTACAGTCCCTAAGGCAAAAGGTTCCACTAATGGGAGCATCCCATCAAACCGCTCCAATGAAACCACTTCAGTACTTATTTATGAACTCCCCCAAAGAGAAGGATGCAAGCCATCCTCAGGAGCACTACTGGCATTCTCTGGGCCCTGATACAGTTGTCCATTTATCACCTGGATTGCAGGAAATCTTATCAGACTTACCCCAGCAGATAGATGGACAGAGCCATGAGGGTCCTTTGACCTTTGGAATGTGCCTAAATTCCATGTCCACCCCTAAGATACAAGCAACATCTGGCCAACCAAGCCCCAGGCCCCTTTCCTCACATCAGACCAGTTGGCATCCCCTGGGACCAAGTTTAGACAGTTCCACCACAACATTTCCACTGAAATGCACAGAGTCTCTTTCTTTGGAAAAAGTAAGTTTTGAGAAGGAGACAGAGCACAGCTCGGGGTGTGATGCTTCTGCCCAGTCAATTCAGTTCCAGACACATACACATAGTATTCAATGGCAGGATCCAGAGCCTACAGGGATCTCAGTCCCTGGTGCTCATCAGGGTCCTCCTCAGGGTACCAAGTCCAGATATAGTGTGGACTCTCTGACCCCAGCAGAGCCTATGGAGGTAGAATCACAATTCCAAACACAGAGAGCTCGGCCGAACACACTTGGAAACCATGAGACTAGCCGATGGATTTCTTCAAGGTTGGCTGACTACCCTCAAGGGGACATGCTAGATATGGGAATGACTCCATTTTCCAGCCCACAGCAGACCCAGAGTATGCCAGCATGCTTTGGCCAACAGCCCAATGCCCTGGAAGGTCATCAGCTTCTGGGGAACTATTCTTCTTGTTGGCCAATCCACCAGCAGCGACCATCAGCAGCAATGGATGTTTACGGTAAATTGCAAGACTTCTCAACCCAGCATCAGCAGCAGTTGGTGCAAGGGACTGACCATTCTGCAGTGCCCTGCAGGCCAACTCTGGGACATCCCAGTGTGCATCTCATTGGAGAGGCGGGGCCCAGTGGCCATCACCAGACTGCACCTGATCAGGAGGCCAGCTGCCAGAGAGCTAGGAGGCTCCAGAGCACACAGAAGTCCTCTGCTTCTGTCACATGGCAGAGGGAATGCTCACTCTCCTTACCTGAATATCAAAGCAGCATTCCCACTGTGGAAAGCAACATCTCTTCTCAGGCAACTCATGTTTCACCCTTTCTTAGACCCCCCCCATCTCAGCAGTAAACTGGGAGAAGCCTCACTCTCTTGCACAGACAGACTCACTGGCTCAGCCCCTGAGAGGGAAGCAAAGCCAGGACTGGACTGGAGTCCTCCCCCCCATCCTTCAGACCCTCTTCTCTCCCACATGTTATTATTAGAACAACAAGCAGATGGTGGGCCGATTGTCAGTCATGGCGTTCACTGCAAGGTAAGATGTAGAGGATTAAAGAAAGCAATTGGAATGGCTTCCTAAACGTTTCATAGAATCCTGGGTAGGACACAGGACAATGGACAGCACAGTGCCTGGGTGTCTGGCACATAGCAAGTGTTTCATGAATGCTTGCTGATTGCCTGTCACTTTACACATACACACATATACATATATATGCACATTCACACATACACGCACACAATACACATATGCATATAGGTGCACACACATGCATACATATATATGCGCAGGCACACAACACACATACACACACACGCACATGTATACATACATGTGCACATGCACATAATGCACACATGCATGGAAACAGGTGTATACATATGTACATATATAGGCACGTGCACACATACACACAATACACATATACACATATGCATGCATGCACACACACATATATACACACACACACATATACACACATGCACACATTCTGCCAGGAAAGCTGAGCGGTATCAGACAGACTGAAGGCTTTCGGGTTTTCTGGCTGCTCTTAGCTCTGACTCCCTTTCTGCTAGCACAGCCCAAACAGTAGGAGATTCCAAACACTGGGTCTCTTTGCCCTCTCCTGGGCCTCCCTGAGAATGTGGCCTTCAATGCTCTATATGCCAAGAAGATGTTGAAAGTATGAAAAGTATTTGTGAAAGACCCTCAGGGGTCAACAAACAAGAATTGTCTGTTGAAGAACCAAGCCTTCTGGGCTTTAAGGCAGTGAGGGCCTGCAGTTAGTAGGAGTGAGGAGGAGGGGAAGGGCTTGGGTGAAATCCTAGACAAGCTTCAGGGAGCTTGGAGCTCACTGGGGGGGATACTCCCCTGCCCACCACTCCCTCCCACCAACCCAGAGCACCTTCCCTCTGTTACTGAGGAGAGGGTCTTTGAGAGCTGCCATGGCTAGAAAGTCATCCCCCTGTAGCCAATCTGGTTCTGAGACTCAAAATCAGCCAGGCCAGGCCAGATGTGGTAGACACACCATCCTCAGCAGGGCCAGGCTCAAAGACTTTCCAGTTTGTCCCAAGTGAGAGGGCTGGCCTTGAAGTCAAGAAGCTTTGGGTCTAGCTCCTGCCTTTAACGTATCCTGGCTGCGTGACATTGGGCAAGTCACTTATCCACTTAATGCCTCAACAACTCTCTAAGACTACAAGCTGTAAAGCGGGTTTTGACTTGCTCTAGGAATTTCCTCACTGCAGTTTCCTATATACTAATGAAAGCCAGACCAAAGTCATGCTTGTATTGGACAGACCTGTGATTTCTTCAGTGTTAAGGAGGCGCTCTTAGTAAAGAAACCTCCACTACCCTCCTGATATGTGTATGTGTGTAACCCAACCACTAGAGGTCCTACACTTTGAGTCTGTCGTGACTCATTGCTTCCTTCATCCCCATACCTTTTCTCCTGGCTGGAGCTGAGGAGCAGAACCTAGTAGATGATCTTTCCCCTCTTCAGAATAGCTAGATGTCCAAGAGCTGTCCTTTGATAATTGCAATGTTAGGAGGTTCATCACAGACCTCTCTTGGGGCCATCACATGACATGTTCATGCCTTATCTGCTCTAGCATGCACTAACTTTTAAAATAACATTTCTTGGATGACTCATAGTTAGGTTTCCACTGTGACATACTGGCTCTTTTTGCCTGGATGGGCTCTAACTGGAACACCTTCTTCTGTTCCTGATAGAATTTCATCCAGGTCATCTTTTATTCTAATTTCATCTTTCTGCCTGGACTCAGACTACTCAAACTGGTGTCTGACCTTAACGCTGCCTCCTTGGCTTCTTCTCTACTTTCTTGGTGTTATTCAATAGGCAGATTGGCTTCCTCACCTTCCTCTCATATCATCAGACAATGACATGGTCCTCAGAAGGGAGTCTTTCCTAGCATTGCAGATTATCCCATTAGCTGATAAACTTCCATGGCTTCTAACCACTTTGTATGGAAATATTTCTAAAGTGTGCTTTATGCTACCTGTTTTATACCACATATAGGAACCATACAATAACATGTTCTTGGTGACTTAGAGTCCTCATCATTAATAGATATTTATGGATTATTGGAGCTGGGAAAGGGATAACCTCTTATAGGTCATCTAATCTGACCCCCTCAATTTACAGATGAGGAAACTAAGGCCAAGAAAGGGGAATGTTTGCAGGATATTAGTGCCAAGCTCACTGATGCATGATTTTCAGATTTTTTCCCCTTCGGAGTGTTTCCTGAGCACCTTTCTCATTCTCCACAGTAATGCAAAGATTTCATATACTCTTCCAAATAAGCTCTTTAATTTTTCTCAGTGTCCTGACTTGGAACTGGGCTATGCCAAGTGATATAAACCCATTTAGATAAACTTAGCTCTTTCTTCCTAGCTCCTGACCTCTCTTGGGTTCCATTTCCCTTAAGTGTTTCTTCTACCCTTTCCAATTTGAAGAACATTTATCTAGACAGAGAAGACCCAAGTAAAATAAGGCACAAGTGGGCTTGCTTTCCATCTGTTAATATTGTACCATCAGCCACAAGCAGAAGATCTCTCTTCTTCATGTCTGGGATATTTAATTTAATATCTCTGGGTTTCAAGCTAAAGAGTACAATCCAGGGACGGATCCATGTATCTATCATTTAAGGATCAGGCTAGGTAAAATTTGTTGCAGCATGGGATGGGAGGGGGTGGGGAACCATCTGCATCTGGGGGAGGGCCTAACCTGATCAAGTCACAGATATTCTGAGGTCTCTGGGGTGTGGCTATCTTATTCTAATTCATTCATGTTTTCTTTTCTCCAATCAGCCAAGCCATCAGAATGAAGAGTCTAGTACCACAGGATTTCCTGCTACTCTCTATCCTCCCAAAACATAGTTTACCTTAAGTTCTGAGGTCAAATCACTACATCCTTCTTGGTACTGAGGTTTTTTTTTTTCCTTAATGACAGTTGTCTTTCCTAGGGCTAAAGTTCTTGACGCTTTTCAATGAATATGTGACTATTGCAATGATTAAAGAAAAAAAAAAAACACCTTCCACATGCACAAATCTATATTTCCATGATCAATTCCTCTGGATTCTGAAGAGTCCCCATTTTTATTTCCACATGACACTGTTGTTTGTACTTACAGAGGAGTGTAGGTAATCCTCACTTGGCTATTTTCTGCTCATTCCTTGGGGGAAAAGAATTCTACTAGAACCAGGAAAAAAGAAGAATCAGAAAAGCAAATAGAAGACAAATGACATCAAATGTAGCAGCCTTTACCTGAACCTTTAAATGAGTTCTTCTTGCAGCTGAGATCTTGTCCCAGTTTTTTGCATTTCCTATCCCAGGTTTTAAGCAGATGGCAGACACAGGTGGGAAAAGAACATGGAAGCCTGTGCTGTGGACACTTGAAGGTGGTTGGACAAAGTCATAATTTGCACAGGCAATGTCTGTTGGTTCTGCTAGGACAGCACATGGAAAGTCACCTGAATCAAGATTTTTAGCAACCAAGATAGAACCTAGATACCAAATACTCATCCTGAAATCACTTTAACTACCATAAAATAGAAAACAAATATAGAAATACTTCTTGCCATTGGACAGAATGCTAAAGGGTCAGTGGAAGATTTGGGTGTACTTTTCTTCATTTCAATTCAAGAAGCATTTATTAGGCATCTGCTATGTGCCAGGCACTGTGCTGGGCACTAGAGGATATGAAGACAAAAATAAAGTGGTTCCTTCCTCAGAGTTTCCATTCTAATGGGGTCTATTGAACTTGAAGAACAAAGATTTTTGTGTAACTTCCTTATTGGCTATTTTGACTTGGGAATTTTGATTTTTCAAGCTCTAAGGGCACTCCCAAGGAAGCAAGCTTTCCAGATCAAAATCAGAGGACACATATCTAGAGCTGGAAGGAAGCTTAGAAGCCACCTGCCCAATCTAATTTTACAGAAGAGGAAACTGAGAACTAGAAAGGTTAAAAGACATATCCAAGGTCACACAGGCAGCAAGTGCAGACCTGGGATTTGAATCCAGGTCCTCTGATTCTAAATCCAGTGGCTTTTTTTTCTATTCCCCATAGTTACCTGTTCCCAAGGTTTAATATTACCAGATGCCACACGGTAAATTACTTTGTGCTTAGTTAGGAACTAGTTTTCACGTGAGTACAACAGAAATCTCCTTGATGGGCTAACTTTACATTCTCTGGCTTTACATGGAACTAGTATGAATGGAGGCAGTAGGATATTTCATCTTGCTAAACTATGCCTGCAAAACATTGAGGGGAATTCTCAAACCCTCAAACCCGTGTGTCCTTTCTAACAAGAGGTTAGGGTCTTTCTGTCTCTTAGATGCTGGTCAGGTGAGCCATGATGCTGATCTACTCATGATGTGATCGGCCTAGAAATCATACCGTAAATAAGGCTGGCAATTCTTTGAAAGGCCCACTGTCCGCTGTTCTCAATCAGATTCATGGATGGATAAATGAAAAAGAGACGGCCAGCAAAACCACAATTGGATACAATCACAGAATATTTCTATTCCTACTTCACCAGCACTCCAAGTCTTGTATTAAATACAAAGGATCACGTTCCCTAGTGTTCTTCACCTTGACCAATAACTTTTCAATGAATTCCCCCCACCCCAAAAATGATAACAACAAAAAAAAACTTGTGAAAAACTTTGTTGATTCCATTTGTACACAAAAACATTTTTCTCCAGGCAAATCTTTGTAATTTTACCATGAAAGGTTGTTGTTTTTAATGTGGCCTTTGATGAAGCTAAATACAAGAGAAAATGACTAGTTGTCATGGGGATTATCTGTCTGACAGATCAGTCATGGGCAGGGCAGCAGTCCTTAAAACTGATTGGGAAGGAACATATTTTGAAATCAAAATGTCTTTTTTTCCCCAACAGAAAATATTCTCATGTCAAGGTTGATAAGGCTCTCAGGCTAGTACACAATATGAAATAACTGCATTAACTTGAGTTCTGGGACCTAGGACTAGGGCCCATGGAGTGGAGCAAGATGAAGATGAATTTTCCCTCCCTCTCTTGGCTTCAGGATTAGCCTCTAGCTGCCTCTCAAAATACAGAGGAATTCATCTGGGCCATCACCTTCCTTTTCTCTTCCCCTTCTCCATTAACAAGGTCAACATGACAGAATGGATAGAATCTTACCTTGATTTGAATTCCAGAAAACCTGGACTCAAATCCATCTCCAGGTGCTAACTATTATTGTTTTTCATCTTCTGTACTCAAAGAGGACCATGATGTCATGATGCTGGGGTCAGGAAACAGTGCATTGACTGTCTGATCAGTTTAATATGAGCTCACAAGGCTCTACCCACAGGTCAGGCACAAATAATCCTTTTGAACATTTGGGATGGAGATGTCTCTAGTGTCATGCATCTCATGTTTCCTTTGTGCTACTATGATTCTGCTTTGCTCATAAAGCATAGTACCTTCTTTGATATGAGCATGCCATGCTGGGTGGTGCTATGCCATCATCTCCCATGTCTCACAATTGATGCTAACATTCTTCAGAGAGACCTTGACAGGGTCCTTGTATCACTTCTTCTGACCACCATGTGAGCACTTGCCTTGTTTGAGCTCTCCATAAAATAGTCTTTTAGGTAAATGTATGTTTGGCATTCAAACAACATGGCCAGTCCATCAAAGCTATATCCTCTGCAGTAGAGTTTGAATGTTTGGCAGTTCAACTTGAGAGAGGACTTCAGTGCCTGGTACCTTATCTTGGTAGGTAATTTTCAGAATCTTCCTAAGACAATTCAAATGGAGACAGTTCAATTTTTCTGTCATGGCACTGGTAAAGTGTCCAGGTTTCATAGGCATACAACAATGAGGTCAAACCAATGGTTCTATAGACCTTCAGTTTGGTACACAGTTGAATACCTCCTCTCTCCCACACTTTCTTTTGGAGTCTCTCAAATGTTAAACTAGCTCTGGCAATGTGTACATCAACTTCATCATCTATGTGGACATCCCTGGAAAGTATACTGCCAAGTTAAGCAAAATTATCCACAGTATTAAACATTTCTCCATTTGCTGTAACTGATGGTTGCCATGTATGGATGGTGTGGTGCTGGCTGGTGGATAACCTCTGTTTTTTTGAGTGTTGATTGTCAGGACAAAAATAGTACAAGCATCAGAGAATCAATATATTTTGTTGCATCTCAGCCTCAGAGGTTGCATTGAGTACGTAATAATCTGTCAACAAAAAGTCTTGCACCAACTCTCTCTCCACTTTAGTCTTGGCCTGTAGCTGTTTCAAGTTAAATAATTTACTGTCAGTGTGGTAGTTGACTTTGATGCCATTTTCATCCTTATTGAAGGTGTCTGACAACATCACTGAAAATATCATTTTAAAAAGCATGGGAGCAAGCACACAGTCCTTCTTCACTCCATTGGTGACTGGGAAAGCTCATCCATTATTCAGAAACATGCCATCATGAAACTGCTATATGATACTGATGAGCTTCTCTGGGCAACCAAATTTTACCATGATCTTCCACAAGCTCTTATGACTGACAGTATCAAAGACCTTGCTTAGATTAATGGATGTTTTGTATAGACTTCTGTTCTGCTCCTGGCATTTCTCCTGGAGTTGTAAGGCAGCAAGCACCATGTTGACCATTCCTCCACCCTTTCTGAAGCCACACTAACTCTTAGGTTAATGACCATCTTCCATTTGAAGGATCAGACAATCAAGGAGAACTCTGATAAGAATCTTGCTGGCAATAACTAAGAACATTTTTGTAAAAAGCACTCAACACAATGCATGACACATAGTAGGTGCTCTCTAAATGCTTATTCCCTTTCTTTTCCCCATTCTTTCACTGCAAGGCTTCATGTAGGGCTAACAGGGAGGAAGGCAATTGGCTAGTGACAAATTGACAGATCCTTGGTCCTCTTCAGCCCCTTGCATTTTTAGAGGAGGATTCCTATAAATCTTCATCTAATTAATAGAATTTGTAGCAGAGGTAAGAAAGTGTAGTGAATGCTCCTGCTGGTGTAGATAGAAATGTTGAGATAGTTCTGGTCAGGGAGTCATCCCAGGAGATCAGCTCCCCCCAAGCTGTTCTGGGTTTTTATAACTTTCTCTCTTCCTTCACTTCTGAGCCCACAGCTTCACTAAAAGCTCCAAGGTTTGTCCCCAGTGGGTCTCAGGGTAGTGCTTCGTCCTGGGGGTAGGAGTGGCAAAAGAGTTGCCACTTGTACAAAGGATTTATTCATCAATTAGCCCTTACCCTTTGTTTGACTTGGACTATACAGTGCTCAGCTTTAGGAAATTTTTTTTAAACAGGATGACTGGAGGGCAGAGTCAAGATGGCAAAGTAGAGAAAGTTGGGCTCTCCTAATGTTCCCCTCTAAACAACTTCAATTTTGGAGTGGCAAAGCTAACAAAAGGTCAGAGTAAGACATTCTTCCAGCCAAAGACAACACAAGAAGTCGGAAAGAGAGATTTGTGACATGGGGGGAGGAGGCTGTCTCAGAGCCCATGTGGATGAAACACTGGTGGTGGGATGAGGTGATGGTGACAGAAGCAACAGTAGCCTTGGGAGCCCTCAAGTCAGAGGTGGTAAAGGAACCTGGGAACTGATAAGGAAGAGATTACAGTGTACCCCTGTGATAGCACTGGACACAGGACCAAATTCTTTTTGACAAGTCCATTGTCTATACACACTTCTAGGTCATAGCTCGAGGATGGAGAGGAACACTTTCAATCAAGAGGGAGTGGAAGCCCTGAGGGCCAGTATCATTCCCTGCACCAAGGGATCAGGGACCCTGAGAAACAGTATCATTTCTAGTCCCAAGGGAGGAGAGGCCCTAAGGAGAGTATTTATTGTGATTTCAAGGGATCAGGGGCACTTCCTGGGTAAGGAACAGATTTCAGATCAAGAGAACAGTGACCACACCTCCACCTAAATCACACCAGTTTGAATGCACTGAAAACTTCCAAACCTCCCAAACTAGCTCTGAAAATAGCAGTGCAAAAAAAGCCTGAAGCCTGAGACAGACCCCCCTCCCACTTACCCTGCATGCCAGGAGCAGAGCCCAACAGTAACATAAAATTCCAAATCAAGAGCTAGGATGGGAAAATGAGCAAACAATAAAAAAGAACCTGACCATAGAAAGCTACTGTGGTGCCAGGGATGATGAAGACATAAACTCAGAATACAATGAAATAAAAACAGCTACCCTCAAAAATGTGAATCCCAACAAAAATTTGTGGAAGAGCTAAAAAACACTTTTTAAATTACGACAAGAGTGAGAAAGGGAAAAAAATAGGTAAAGAATTGAAAGCAAAGGAAGAAAATTACGAAAAGACAACTAACAGCTTGGTAAAGACACACCAAAAATATGAAGGAAATAACACTTAAAAAAAACAGAAATAGCCAGATGGAAAAAGAAGTACAAAAGTTTACTCAAGAAAATAATTCCTTAAAAATTAGAATTGGGTAAGGGGAAGCTATAAACTTCATGAGACATCAAGAAACAATAAGACAAAGACAAAATAGAAGAAAATGTGAAATATCTCATTGGAAAAAACAACTAACCTAGAAAATAGATCTAGGAGAGCTAGTTAAGAATTATTGAACTACCTGAAAGTCATGATCAAAGAAAGAGCCTTGATATCATATTTCAAGGAATTATCAAGGGAAACTGTTCCAATATCCTGAAACCAGAGGATAAAATGGAAATTGAAAGAATCAACTGATCTCCACCTGAAAGAGATCCCAAAATGAAAGTTCCCAGGAATATTATAGCCAAATCCCAGAACTCAAATCAAATAGAAAATACTTCAAGCAAATGGAAAACAGCCACACATGTGTCCTGGAGCCAGAGACAGGATCACAGAAAATCTAGCAGCTATGACATTAAAGGAAGAGAGGGTTTAGAAGATGATATTCTGGAAGGCAAAAGAGCTGGGATTACAACTAAGACTAATCTGTTCAGTAAAACGCAGTACAATCCTTCAAGGGAAAAATGGTATTTAATGAAATAGAGGACTTCCAAGCCTTCCTGATGAAAAGGCCAGAGCTGAATAGGAAATTTGACTTTCATAGAATGGATTAGAAACAAGGATCTAACAACATGGTATTTACAAAAGACACACTTGAAACAGAAAGATCCACACGTGGAGTTAAAATAAAGGGTTGGAACAGAATCTATTACACTTCAGTTGAACTAAAAAAAGGCAAGGGTAGTAATCATGATCTCAGACAAAGCAAAAATAGACCTAATTAAAAAGGATAATTAGGGAAAGTGTATTTTGCTTAAAAAAAGTATCACAGACAATAAAGTGATGTCAAAAATTTTACAGCAAGTTTCTCTGTTAAAGTTTTCATTTCTCAAATATATGCTCTGTGTGGAACTGAGTCAAACTTGTAAAAATAAAAGCCATTCCCCACCTGACAAATAGTCAATGGATATAAACAGGAAGTTTTTAGAAGAAGTCAAATATCTATATTTATATGAAAAAATGACCTAAATCACTATTGATTAGAGAAAGGCAAATTAAAACAACTCTGAGGTACCACCTCACATCAATCTAAAATGACAAATGCTGGAGAGGATGAGGGAAAAATAAGTATATTAATGAACAATTGGTGGAGTAGTGAACTGATCCAACCATTCTGAAGAACAATTTGGAACTAGGTTCAAAAGGCTATAAAACAATGCATACTCTCTGACCCAGCAATAGCACTAGTAGGTCTCTATCTCAAAGAGATCAAAGAAAAAGGAAAAGAATCTTGTACGAAAATATTTGTATCACCTCTTTTTGTTGTCTCAAAAATTGGAAATCAAGGGGGATGCTTATCAATTGGGGAATGGCTGAGCAAGTTGTGGTATGTGATTGTGATAGAATACTACTGTGCTATGGGAAATGATGGGGGGGTGGTTTCAGAAAAACAAAAACAAAAACAAAGCAAGACCTATATGAACTGATGCAAAGTGAAATGAGAAGAACCAAGAGATCATTGTGCACGATAACAGCAATGTTGTAATTATGATCAACTGTGAAAGACTTGGCCACTTTAATCAAGACAATGATCTGAGACAATTCCAAAGGATTCATGATGATAAAATTGCATCCATCACCAGAAAGAGGACTCATGAACTCTAAGTACAAATTGAAGTATAATTTTCTCACTTTCTTTTAAAAATATAGCTAATATGGAAATACGTTTTGCATGATTTCGCATGTTGAATCATATTGATATCATATTGCTTGCTTTCTCAGTGGATAGGATACAGGGTGGGAGGGAGGTACAGAATTTGAAACTCAAAATTTAAAAAGAAAATAATGCCAATAAATAAATAATAAATTTAAAATATTTTTAAAAAGAAATAAAATTTGACTTTCAAATACAAGACTCAAGAGAAGCATAAAAAGGTAAACATTAAAGAGAAATCATAAAGGATTCCCTAAGTTTCAACTGTTTACCTCTGTATATGGGAAGATGATATACCTGTCTTCTAATAGTTTTATTATTAGAGCAATTAATAGGATTCTACGTAGAAAGGGGGCATGGGAGTGAACATGATCATGTTCAGATGATTCAAGAAAATAGGTGAGAAAGAGAGAAGGGGGAAGGGAGAAGAAGAATGGGGAAAATGATCTCACATACAAGAAGTGTGCAAAGAAGAGTTTTTACAGTGGAGAGGAAAATGATGAGAGGAGGAGTGGGCAATGCTTGAACCTTACATATAAATTGGTTCAAAAAGGGAAACTATATACATACATAGATGCATGCACACACACTCAATTGGTCATAGAAATCTATCTTACCCAACTGGAAAGTAGGAGGGAAAGGGGATAAGAAGGGTGGGAGATGATTAAATGGAGGGCAGATTAAAGAAAGCAATGGTCAGAATCAAAACAGACTTTAGAGGAGAGAAAGGTTAACTTTATATGTAATTGGGAAATATTTAATGAAATAAATAAAAACAATTTTTTTAAAAATAAAAAAGACTACTTTTCCACGTGACTGTGATGGTAGTTACTTAGGTGAGGAAACAGGAGGGAGTGGAAAGACAAGATCATTGGGTCCTACATGAATTTGAACTGGCAGTGACCTTATAACCATCTCCTCCAATCACTAAGTAAACAACAATCATTCATTTTTCATTTACAAATGAGGAAACTGAGGTCTAATGAATTGAAGTTGTTTGTTCAAGGCCATGCAGGTAATAAGCAACAGAAGTGAGATTTGAACCTAGGTCCTCAGACTCCATAATGGGTGTTCTTTCCACATTGGCCTCACGTGCCAGGGTCATCCTCCCGAGCATAATGTAGGCCTTCAACAAAAAGCTATTCTGTTACAGATATCTTTTTTAGAATTTCATGTATTATAAATGTGTATACACATTCAATATAAAAGTCTTACTCATTCTTCGATTTGCTTAGGCTTTGTTATTTCTGTTTGTGGGTGTTTGGGGTTATTTGTTTGGGGGGAGGAGTTTGGGTAAGGGCTGGAGGGTCTCCCTGACAAGATAAGGTGATCCACGCTGGGTATTATTCAACACAGATGCATTTATTAGTCAATGAGCATTTATTACATGCCAAGCACTTTCATAAGAGCTAGGGATGAAAAGAAAGGCAGAGACGTGGTCCGTGCTCTCAAGCAGCTAACAAGCTATATGAGAGAAATGATATGTACCTAACTGGGTACAAAGTCCATGGAAGGCAGCCTTAGTGGAGAAAACCTCAGTGTTCCAACTGCCATTTCAGGTGCAGCCATTCTCCAGGGACCCACTCTTGTTTCAGGGGGACCCTGCTTAGCCCTGTGTCTGGTGGAGCAAGGGCTCCCTGTGTTGCAGAATTACCCTCCCATAGCAGACAGCTTACCTGTTTTACATGTTGGAAATGACTCTGATCTAAAATCATAGACAGAATCTCAAGCCCCGTTGGCCGCTGCCCCTGCATGAGAAAGCTTTTTTTTTTTTGCAATAAAATGACCAGCCTAGTTCATTTCAGATCAGATGGAGCTGTCCACCCCAACCCAGGCTCTCAGCTGATCAGCACACAACTTTGCTCAACTTTGCATTTTTGCTGAGCAGTCTTTCGATCCCAAAGCCCTCTGATGCTTCATTGGTGTGGTGATGACCTTGGTCTTGAAAGCTCAGCCAGTAGAGGAAAACTCTGGGAGCTTTTACCAAGCTAGAAAGTCTTTGAGTCTGGTGTCAGTGTCATCTGCTGGTGACTGTTGCTGGAGGAAGTTCAGCAATGTTCCTTGCTTATGGGGCTCACCCTGGAATTAAAGCCACCCCTCTTCTCGAGTCTCTCTCCACAGTCCTGCTAGACTTGGTGAAACCACTGCTTCCTAAGGGAGGGATTCTGCATTGCTACTGGACTCTCCTCTCCTTTCCCTTCCTACCAAAGAACTTGGAGCAGTGAACCATGTGTCACTTAGCAGACTGAGCCACATTGAATCAAGTTCTGAGCAAAAGGAAGGAGGAAGAGAATTCATGAGAACTAGCAAACATTTGCACCTCAGGGAGAATTTCTGGCTCGGGGCAATCCTATCAATTCATCCCAAATGATGTCTCTAAATTGATGCTATGATTCTTAACTGGAATGCTCCAGGACTCAGACACAGACACAGACATAGGCACAGACATTTCTGTAAATAAGAGGGAATCACATTACCTTCCTGGGCTCAATGGGGCTCACTTTGACCTTGCAGCCAGGGAGGCCTCCCAGCTCCCAGCTGTGGAAAGTAAGACAGAAGATACTCAAATGGAGAAGGACCAAGGATCCATCTTCTGCTCTGCCCCAGGATGGGATAGTGTATGTTCAGAAGACCACTGGTTTTTTAAATACTCCCCATCTAGTTAGGTAAAACAAATAAGCATTTATTAAGCACCTGCTATGGGCCAAATATTATGCTAGTAATTGAGGAAACAAAGTCAAATAAATTCCCATACTGACTGTCAAAAACTTTGTGTCTCATTCTGTGTGTTCAGTCCATTGCCTCTCTCCCAGGAGGTCAGTAACGTTCTCCATCACTGATTCTCGGGAATCATGGTTGGTCATCGAGTTTAACAAAGATTTTAGGTCTTTCAGATTTGTTCCAGTGTTGTTGCTATTGTATAAATGATTCTCCTGGTTCTGTTCACTTCCCTGTGCATCAGTTCATACAAGCTTCCCCAGGCTTCTCTGAAACCATTCCCTAGATCATTTCTTACAGCACAATAGTATTCCATCACATTCATATCCCACAGTCTGTTCAGCCATTTCCCAGTTGATGGACACCATCTTACTTTCTTATTCTTGCCACCATAAAAAGAATTGCTGTTGATATTTGGTCAAAGGCTATGAACAGGCAATTCTCAAGGGAAGAAATGCAAATGACCGATACTCAATTAACTGCTGTTCTTCAGAAACCTTGCCTACAGTAGGCTCCCAGTCCCTTTGAGTAACCCAAAAGTTTGTGGGGAAATGACTAATATGGAAATGTTTTACATGATTGCACATATATAAACTATATCAGATTGCTTAACATCTCAGGGAGGGAAAAGGGGAGAAAGGAGGGAGGGATAGAATTTAAAACTCAAACCTTCAAAAAATGTTAAAAATTTGTTTTAACATGTAATTGGGGGAAAATAAAATGTTATTTACAAAAAGTTTGTGTGGAGGGAAAATCCATTTAGCAAGAACTCACTCTTTATAGTGGGTGAAGAACGTGGTCTCTTTCCAGGTAATAATGGACCCCTGGGTACAAATTCCCTTAGGTAATTGACACACAATTCTTCTGAACCAGCCCTCGAGAAATACTGATTGAGGGCTATGAAGGTTTGGATTTACTTTCCTGCAAGGGAAAAGGAGTGTGGAGTTGGAGTTTTGCCTTCACCATTCAGCAGGTCCCCTGATTTATCAAATAATTTTAAACCAAGAAGAATTGTCAGATACCAACTCGGAATCACCCTTTTGTTTGAGCTGGGCCCTGGGGACATAAAGGAATAAACAAAACAGTAGCTGCCCTCAAAGCGCTTATACCAGGGGTGGGGAACCTGTGGCCTCAAGGTCACATGTGGCCCTCTAGGTCCTCAAGTGCAGCCCTTCGACTGAATCCAAACTTTGCAGAACAAATTCCCTTAATTAAGGGGATTCATTAATTAAGATTCAATCAAAGGGCCACACTTGAAGTCCTAGAGGGCCACATGTGGCCTTGAGGCCACAGGTTCCCCACCCCTGGCTTACATTCGATCGGAGGAAACAACATGAACATAGATAAGTAAATGCGAAAAGGGCAGCTAGGTGGCAGAGTGGACAGAGTTCTGGGCCTGGAGTCAGGAAGTGAGTCTTCCTGAGTTCCAATCTGACTCCAGACACTTACTAGCACTATGACCCAGGGCAAGTCACTTCCCTCTGTTTGCTTGCCCAGTTTTCTTATCTGCCAAATGAGCTGGAGAAGGAAATGGCAAACCGCTCCAGGATCTTTGTCAAGAAAATCCCAAATCGGGACGTGGCTGAAATGACTAATCAACAACAAAATACAATGTACAAATAAATAGAGAATGATTGTGGAGAGGTAACAGAGGGCACCAGGAAAGGATTCTTGTAGAAAGGAGAAATCCAACTGAGCCTTAAAGCGAGCTGGGGATTCAAGCATCAAAGATGAGGAAGGAGAATGATTCAGGTATGGGGGCCAGACCATGCAAAGCTGGAGGTAGGAGATAGAATATTTTTTGTAAGTCATTCAACAAACATTTATTGAGCACTTTCTATGTACCAGGTACTTTTCTAATACTGGTGATATGCAGTAAACAAGGAAGAAAACCCCTTCCCCCAAGGAGTTTTTATTCTAATGGGAGAAGACTGCACACAGAGGGAAGCTGGGAAGTTGTGATGGCAGCAGGGTGGAGTGAGGTGGAGATGGACAGGAAGTGAGGCAGATCCTGCCAAAGCTCACGTAAGGAGCCCAAAGCCCGACCAGCAGGGTTCAAGGTTTTGATAGGAAGGGAACAAGGACTAAGTCTACAAAGGCAGGCTAGAGCCAAGTGTGAAGGGATTTAACTAAAAGAGGGATTTGTAGTTTCTGCTAGAGGCAAGAGGGCACTGCTGAACTTGAGGAGAGGTGTGCCATGGTCCTGGGTGAATCTGGAAGCTGTGTAGAGGAGGCAGCAGGGGCAGGAGAAGCTGGAGGCAAGGAGACCAATCAGGAGAGCTGTGAATAGAGAGAAAGGAATTGATCAATCAATCCATGAACATGTATTAAGCACCTACTATGTGCCAGGCACTGTGCTAGGCTGGGTATGTGACTGATGTGAGTGGTAGTTGGAAAGAATATCAGTGCTGGAGTCAGAGACTCTTCATGCCTTGGAAAGGTCACTTGATGCCTCTGAGCCTCTGTTTCCTTATCTGTTAAAAGAGGGTTTTGGACTAGATGCCTCTGAGGCCCTTTCCATCTCTAGACTGTGATTCTATTGTGAGGTTAAAAAAATAAATCTTGGCCACTGAGTGACCATGAAGCTGGAGTGAGTGAGAGAGAGGGATCCCGGAGGACCCTGATGCTGAGCACCGGATGTTAGCAGGAGGCTGGGTTTTACTGGGAAACCTAACAGTCCTCTGTCGGACACATTGAGGCACATGATCTGCTGAGGGAGAGATCTCTGAAAGGTTCCCCCGTGCAGAGCCAAGTTTGGGGAGCACTGCTGAGCCTGGCAGGCAAAAGCACAGAGCCCTAAACCTAACACTCCCTCACTCAGACTTTTCCATGGTGGTCCCCAAAAGCATTCCAACTCTTTCTGCTCCAGAGGAACTGGAAAATTGTACTAACCCCAGGTGTGTTTACCAACCTTTACCACAGCTGGTCAGACCCACATGCTGCCTGATTGTGCGGGGAACTGGGACCCCACCCAAGCCATTCAGCAAAATGGCCAAGTCAATGAAAATGTAGCAAACTCGAGCTGTATGCACAGCCAAGCATCCACACAGGCCCCGGGAAGAAGCTTCTCGTGACTGTCTCCCAAGCCGGGAGGTCGCTCCTTGTTCCTCTCCCGTTTTGGAATCCTTGGCTTCCTTGGATCTCACTAAGCTGCCCCCTGCTGCAGGAAGCCTGGGGGATCTCCCTGGCCCCTAGTGCCCTCTCCCACCACGATTACCTTGGGTTTGTTGACAGCTCTGTACTTGACCTGGAGGCCCGAGGGCAACGACTCTCCTCTTGTATTCTCCGGAGCCCAGAGCAGTGTCTGGCACACAGACACAAGTGATAGTTGAATTAAACAGTGGAACAGTGGGTAGGCATTGTATTTAGGGTTAGCAAGACCTAGAGTTGGGCCTTACGGCTTTTAATGGCACTTCGAGCTAGCTGTGCGATGCCTAAATTTCCTCTCTTGTAAAATGAGGAGATGGGAATGCTTGGCTTCTAAGGCCTCTTCCAGCCCCAAATCTGTGCCCCTGTTCTGTTCTTGTACTGACAAATACAAACAGCCCTTGGGCCTCCCCTCTTAGGACCACCCAGAACTGCAGAACTCCCGGGGCTCTGTCCCTTTCGAGATGGAGACGAGGGATATCCCTGACGGACCCTTCTAGGGCCTCCGTTTGATGCACCCCAGGGATCAGAGGCCAGGACTGGCAGGAACTGTTGGAGAGGCAACTGTGTCCCCGGCGAGCTAGCCGCAGGGGCGGCAGCTGGAATGGGCTGTAGGTGCTATTTGAGGAAGCAGCCAGGAACGCAGCAGTCCGAGGTTGCTTAGAAAAGGAAGCCTGCAGGGCCAGCAGGGCGCGGATGGGCGACGCTGGTGCCAGGCGTAGGTGCCCAGAGCGCGGCTTCTTTTCTTGCTCCCGGATCCCGGGCTGATCTGATCTGAGCCAAGCTAGGCGGAGTGACGGACCGGGCCGGGGAGGGGGGCAGTCTGGGGGAGGGCAGGGACGGCTTCTCTGCTTTCCTCTGCGTCTCCGCCCCGCTCACAGCCAGACCCCGAGCCCGAGCCCGAGCCCGAGCCCGGCAGAGGTTCCCTGAACCAGCCCTCTGCCTTCAGCCCCACCAAAAGCCGTAGAGGCCAGCCGCCCGAGGGGGAGGGAGGCCTTGTCTGGTTCCGCCTTTCCACCCGCCCTCCCCCCAGTCCCGCGCAGTGCCCCACCTGGGCCCCCCAGAGCCTACAGCACCCCGAGCTCAAGCCTGTGCCGACGGCATCATGTACGCCGGCCGCCGACGGAGGAAGCCCGTGCCCAGGACGTGAGTGCCAGGCCCGCCGTAGGGCAGGGGGCGGGAGGGGAGGGGGCGACTCGCCAGAGTCTGGGTTGGGAGGGGGTGATTCCGGGGCCGCCGCTTATTCCAGGGAGGCCTGCTGGGGGCCCCCCGGGGAGTAGATGTGACCCCGGGGAGCGAGTGACGGCCCTGGCAAAGTGGCATCCTCTGCGTCCCGGGGTCGGTGTCGGGGTGGACCCCGGGGGTGAACCTCGGGTCCGGGCAGGGGCGTCTCCCGGAAAGCAGCAGAAGGCCGGGGTCGGCGAGGCGGCGGGGGACTTTCTACTGCCCCGTCCATTCTTCCCCTGGTCTCCTTCTGTTCGTTCCAGTCCATTCACGATCCCACTCCTTACCAGTTGAATGTCCTTGGGCAAGTGCCTGCCCCTCTCTCCGAACCCCACGTTCGTCCCTCTAACGTGCAGGGTTGGGATGACAGTACCTTTCTGCTCCTTCCCTGAGCTGCGTCCTCATTCTTAACTCACCCTCTTCTCTTGGGGAGTAGAAAGAGGTCCCAGCCCCGCAGTTCCCCGCTCTTTGCCTGAGAGTCGGGGGTCCTGCTTTGCAGGGTGACTCTGATGCTCACGGGCTGAGGGATCCCGCTCAAGCCCTTTTTCCTTTCCGCGCCTCAGGGTCCTCACTGAGACCCGCTGGGTTTAGGGATTGGTCGATCCCAGACCTGCGCCACATCCCAGAAGGAAACGTTTCTTGTGACTTAGCTGCTCCTGGGGCGCTGCTGTGACCTCACTTGGGAGGGCTGAGGGGCTCAGGAGACACGGGGTGGGGAGCAGGCAGGGTGCGTGGAAGCTCGCCCCAGAAGCGCCTCCCCTTCCTCAGCCTCCGCTGAAACGTAGCTACAGAAAAAGGCGCTGGATTTGGCGTCAGAGGAAGCGGGTGCAAACCCAGCTGCCTGGGTGACTTGGGCACCTCTCTGACACTCAGTTTCTTCTTCTATAAAATGAAGAGGCTTGGACTAGATGCCATTGATATTCTCCTTGGAGTCAGAGAACCCCGTTTCAAATACTGGCTCTACCATTCCCTCTGGAGGGCTCCCTGGACCTCAATATCCTGATCCGTGAAAAGACAAGGTTGGGCTAAATGACCCCCACATTCCCTTCCAGACTCTAGGCTCCAGTCAGTTAGGGTTTTTTTTGTTTTTTTTGCGGGGGCGGGGGCGGGGGGGAGTTGCGGGACTGTCCTGTCCTACACGCTGTTGTTACTGCTGCTGTTTGTTCTTGGTTCTCGGGTGGGGCCTGGCCCCTGCTTGCCCTAGGGGTGGGAGGTGCTTTGCTCGACTCCCAAAGGAGAAGGAGCTGGGGGCGAAGGCTATTACACAGCGCACCCCCTCCAGGGTTCACCAGAGGAAGCCCCCCTGTCCATTCCCCACTGTCTGCCCCCTAGGATCAGAGGGTTCAGTGGATTCAACCTAAACTAGCGACAGCAGCAGCACCACCGCCAATACCAAGACCAGAACAGCTGCCCGTTTTCCTGAAGGATGTTGCTCACTAAAGTGACTGAAGGATGTAGTCACTAAAGACTAGAGGGTTTCCCCAAGGTCACTTTAGCTCATCAGTGGTAGAACTGGGATTTGGACTCATAGTCTGTGTTTCCAGTTCTCTCCCACACTCTGCCCATCCTACCTCCTCCAGCTCCCACAGACTCTGTTTCATGGGACACAAACATTTAGGCCAGTTTCCATTCTGCAAGGGAGGCCAGCATTGCATTTCCTACTGGTTCCATCACCACCACCTCTTCCCTCACTGATGTCTGGCCTGGATGTGTAATGATTGCCATGAAGCTAGCATCTCCAATCCTGAAAGAGGGCAAGCAGGGCCAACAATTCTTCTCAATCCTGAGCCTACACTGCTGCTCTCATTTCAGAATGCACCAGACTTGGATTTTTCCAATAAAAGGCTCCAGTTGGAAACTTTCATTTCAGAAAGAGTATTTTCTCCCCTCATCTGCATCTTAGTCTGTTCCACTGAGAACTACCAATCCATAGCATCCAAAGCAGGCTGGAATCCAAATTTGATTCTTTGTTGCCATTTGATTATAGAGTGGACAGATGACTATCCAGATGTGGCCAGATTGTGTGTGAGTCCTACATGATCTGGCCATCTCTGGCCCCCGACTGGTGAAATAGCAAATGTCAACAAGCTCTGGAGAGGGACATAGAGCTCTAGATTGGGTCCTCACTCTGAGACTGTGGGGCCTTACCGTAGGACCAAAGATGGAAAGGCAGTGGGACAGAAGGTCTTGGCTCCACCCTGGGCCTTCTTGGAAGGTCTCTTGATGATCTCAGATTTAGGAAAGGGATCTTCTAAGTCCTGGCCAGACAGGCAGCCCCTAAATAAATGCTGTTTGAATTGAATTGGAACCCTGAGAAAAGCGGGCCATTTCCCTGTAGGAGGAAAATGATCCTTACGATCCTCTCTTATGATCCTTACTTTGAAGCAGAAGACCCAGGATCAAAAGGTACTGACACACTAAGCATCCTGTAGACTGCCCATTAGGCAGGAGTTCCCAGGTCAGATGATTTAAAGAAAGCTTGGGGGTGTGTGGCTAGAAGCCCACTAACAAACACTGGGTCCTCCTCTCTCCTTGTTTCCTGAGGACTAGCGATGGTTGGGAGCAGGAAGGGGAAGGCCTACCATTGTAACATGTCTGCCTTTGCCCCTCCCACCCCCCAACTGCAGGGCCAAGTTGCCTCCCTCTGAAGGTGTCAAGGCAAACCCCTCCAAGCGGCACCGGGAGAGGCTGAATTCTGAGCTGGAGTGCCTGGCCAGCCTGCTGCCCTTTCCCAATGAGGTCATCTCCAGTTTGGATAAACTGTCCATCCTCCGGCTTACTGTCAGCTACCTGCGTACTCAAAGCTTCTTCCAAGGTAAGCCCTGGGCCCCTGGCTCACTCCAGATCTTGCCCAAGGGGAGTAGAAGGGGCAAGGGGCAATCTCTCACAAGGAAAGGGTGGTTGAAAATGCTTTGTTCTCCTCTTTAAAGTGCTTTGGAAGTGGCCACTATGATTACTATGACCATCACCATCTGTATCAAATCCTCCTCCCAAATAAGACCTTCCGATCTCATTGGATCTTAGTGGAATTCTATTTCTTGTCCTCGACAAGAATAAATTCAATTCTTTTCCATCACATGAGGAAAAACGAATGAATTCTGAAATCTCTAAGGCAGGTCAGTTTCCAGTTCAAAATATGGGGCTTACTTGGGTACCCTGGACTAGTTCAAAACAAACATGGCACGGAGAAGAATATTGAATCCTAGCTCTTGGTAGTAAGTTAAGCATAGACCTGCAGGAAGGCTAGTGAAAGCTTCAAAACCAATTGATTTCCTATGAAGATAATATTTCTCCAGTCCACTTATATTCCATCTTCTAGAAACGTGTACCTTTTGGAGTGTAATTTCTATGATCCTAACCTTTCAAATGAGCTAGAAGGAACAAGAGGAAAGAGGAAGTCCTGTCTTAGTGGGCTCTGATCTCTCTCCTGAAGGAAAAGCAATTTCAACTCTGAAATTGATGGATTAATTTAAAAAAAATTTTCTCTAGAGGAAATCTAGATTACTGCTTCAGAAAAGAGAAAAATATAAACATACCTGCCCATCTACTCAAATCACCTTACCAGGCTTGCTTGCAGCTGGCAGCTACAATCTTGGCTACAAGACAGTTGCTGTCTTGCCAGGTTCACGTCCTTTCCATGTTGACTTAAATTCCTTCCATGATCTCTTTATTTACACCATATAGCCTATTTTCCACAGAAAGATGAACAGTGTTTCCACTTGATGATTCTAATTTCAGATAGATCTTGTTTTCATTTAAAAAGAAATCTTTGTTGTTTTGGCTGTACCTAATGTTTTCTTCATTTGGAAGTTATTCAGATAAACAATCAAAAATATTTATCGAACATGCTTCCATTCATCGGTTTGAGGAGCGTCTGTTTGTTCTGGGATGTCAGCTGCTCCTCCAGATGTATTTTGTGTGTTTGTACGTATTTATGTGTATGTGTCTGTAGGTACATTTGTGTCCGAGATAACAGCATTGGTAATTGGAGCTCACCAGTTCACTGCACAGAAATCTAGAGAGGGATTTCCAGGCATTGATCATTCCTTGATGTTTAGCCCATCTAGTGACATGTTTGGCAAATATGCATTCATTCTTGCCTCCATCTTCCTTTCCTTTTTATAGCCCTTAATACCTTTCTAGGTCTTCTCCAATTCTTGCACCGTTGACACAGAACTTCCACCCTGTCTTTTGTCTTACTTTGGTATATACACATTCAAGAATGGTATTGAAATTTTTATGTGGTTAGAATGAAGGTTGAAGGGGGCTACTGGAAGTCACAATATGATCTAAGGATGCTCTTCTTTGCTACTTTGAATTGGTCTTTTGACATTCATTAGGAAGCTAAAAACAACCTGTTATCTAGAAAAGCAATTGTTCTATATTTTTCTTGCATCCTTAAAAAATACAACAGGTTTTGAACATTTTCATTTGATATCAGACTTCTTCTGTATGTATGAGGTGTGCTTTAGAGTGCGTCTGTTTATTCCAGGATGTGCCCTACTCCTCCAGGCACACACATATGCATATGTGTGTGTTTGTGCACATATTTTTGGCTCTGGGTGATGGATTTGATAATGTGCACCAATTCATATTAAAGAAATCTGGAGAGTGGGTTTACCAGGCATTTCATCATTTGTTTTGCTGCATCCTATCTAGGGATGCATTTATTAAATAAACTTTCATCATCACTATCACCTTCATCATCCCTTCCTTTGTATAGCCCTTAATACCTTCTCATGTGTTTTCCTATCCTTGCTCATTTGATATGGTAATTATGCAGTGTGCTTTGTCATATTTCGGTATAGATAGTTTCAAAGGCAATTTGAAATTGAAAAGTGTTTTGCATAAAATATCTAGTGGTATTTTTAAGTCAATCCATTATATATCTCATGGCAGTGGGTATTGTGTTGTCCTCAATTTCAAAGAAATGAAGGAGGAACATAATTGGTTGGTAAAACTGTCTTTTCCAGGCTTACTGAATACAATTATGTTGGGGCCATCAATGTACATTCCAAAAATATCTGCTTGAAAAGGATTTATATTTTTGGCTGGAAAATTTGCCTGCATTTGATATCTTACCCCTCATTTTATTTTGAATATTTTATCTAAATGGGAACTGAACTGAAGTCACTCCACTACTAGAATGATTAGAAAGAAACTTTTTCTCTTTAATGATGCCTATCTAGTTTTTGCTTTCTTTTTTCCTAATAACAGTCTAATTTCACATTTTGTGGGCTTTTTTTTTTTTTAGCTTGAACTCTTCTCCTGAATTAGTAAAGAGACTGCAGTCAAATGAAGCTCTTCCTCCCATACTATTTCCAAAAGCGTGTCTGATGAGTCGGTAGTGAAGTAGGAAAAGAAAGCGTGTTGAAAATAGAAGTAATAAGAATTTATTGTTGGAATGTGTTGTAGGTCAGTCATTTAGTCGTGTCTGACTCTTTGTGACCCCATTTGAAGTTTTCTTGGCAAAGATTCTGGAGAGGTTTGCCATTTCCTTCTCCAGTGGAAATTTAATAGAGACATGCAATACTTGGGATTTCAAAAGAAAAGTGTGCTTGGAATCATCAAAGTTATTTTTTGTTGTCTAAAACTGTTGTCTAAAAATGTGCTTTTTTTTTTCTTTCTTGAGTCGACCATGTTGTTTGTTGGAAGTCAGTGGTGCAGTGCGGCCATTGGGCTCTTCTGGGGCATTAATAATGTAAAACTTGCAGCTAAAGAATTTCTCAAAGGGAGGAGGGGAGGCAGGGATGGCTTAAAACAGCAGCTTTGTAAGGTTCATCAAGTCACCAAGAATCCCGATGTGCTTGTTTTCCACTGGAAATGAAATTCTTCCAAGATAACCATGCATCCAAATAAGCAAAATGGTGACCAACATGGATGGACCTAGGGATCCATCTGCCTTCACTAATGAGGATCTGTAAGATTAAAGAATTTTTTTTAAAAGCCTACAGTCTTCAGATGAACGGATGCCATTTTTGTTTAATCAAATGCCAGTTTCTCCCAGTCTTGGATTGAGATTAACCCTGAGTGAGGGACATAACATCTTTTATTCCTAGTTTCCTCATCTTTAAAATGACAAAGTTGGACTCTAAGTTCCCTTCCAACTCAAAATCTACAATCCTATGAGTTTAAGATAAACATGCAGGCACATAAACAAAGGAGAAGGGATTGTAGATGAATCTAATATGGAGTGACTTGATTGTTGAGGTTTGGGAAGGAAGGAGGGAAGGAAGGAAGGAAGGAAGGAAGGAAGGAAGGAAGGAAGGAAGGAAATAAGCATTTATTAAGTGCTTACAATGGGCCAGGCATTGTCCTAAGTGCTAGAGATACAAATATAAGCAAAAAGAAAGATATTTTCTGTCCTCAGGAACACACCACACAAAAGGGATCTGAAAGGGGAAGGAGAATGAGGGAGATGAAGATACCCAGCCCAAGTCCATGATATTGAAGCCTAGAAAGTCTGGTCCACCTGGGTCCTTCCATAAAATAGGGACTGTAAGAGAAGCTCACCAATGGGAGAATGTTAAGTCATTCACTAACGTGAAACTATAGATACTCAGAATGTACAGATAGAGGATTATTCTCATTCAATCAGTGCAATGGTTTCTTCCCAGTCATGGGGTAATTTGGAGGTTTAGTACCTGCCCACCTCCATTAATGACACGGAGGAAACAAAATATACTCCTTGGATGACTAGCAATGTACTTAAGGCAGTTAGGTGGCACAGGGCATAAAGAGCTCTCGAGTCAGGAAGATATCTTAAACTTGGTATGTCCAAAGCTGAACTCATTAATTTTCCTCCTAAACACTGACCCCCCCCCCTTTCCTATTACTGTGGGAGCCACCACCATCCTCCCAGTCTCTCAGGCTCACAAAATAGGAGTCATCCTGGATTCCTCACTATCTCTCACTCCTCCCCCATATTCAATATGACCTTCAGTGGTGCCAAGGACTGTTGATTTCACCTCTGCAAACTCTTCAGAATATGCCCCCTTCTCTCCTCTGACACTGCCCCTATGCTGGTGCAGGCCCTCATTACCTCATGCCTGGACTATTGGAATGGCCTTTGGGTAGGTCTGCTTGCCTCAGATCTCTCCCCACTCCAGTCTAGCCTCCATCCAGCCACCAAGTGACTTTCCTTAAAGTGCAGGTCTGATCATGTCACCCCCCCCCACGCAATAAACTCCAGTGGCCCCTATCACTTCTAGGAGCAAATACAAGATGCTCTTTGAGGCCTTCAAAGTCCTTCATAACCTAGCCTCCTTCTACCTCTCCAGTCTTATTAAACCGCACTCCCCAACACTTGGATCCAGTGACCCTGACCTCAAGACTGTTCCACCAATAAGACACTGTATCTCTTGACTCCAGGCACTTTTTCTAGCTGTTCCCCATGCCTCAAATGCTCTCCTTCTTCCACTCTAACTACTGACCTCCCCAGCTTCCTTTCAATCTCAATTAAAATCTCATTTCTACAAGAAGCTTTTCCTAACCCCTCTTGATTCCATCATCTTCCCTCTGTTCATCATCTCCTATTTAGCCTGTAGAGAGATTCCTTGGTGTATGTTTGTTTGCGTGTTGTCTTACCCATTGAATTGCAAACTCCGTGAGGGTAGAGATTGTCTTTTGACTATTTTTGTCAACACTTAGCACAGTGTCTGGCACACAGTAGGTACTTAATACATGGTTATCAATTGATTGATAAGAAAACCAATTCAAATCTAGCTTCAGACATTCACTAGCTGTGAAATCCTGGGCAATCTGTCTTTGTTTTCTCATCAGTAGAATGGGTATAATAATAGCATTTAACTTGGG